AAGAGGTAGAATCAATTCCTTAAAAGAGAAACTTTTTTCTACACTATTAGCAGAAGATGTGAAAATTAACACACCAAATGAATTGCCCGGTTATGTGATGATGAGGCTTGGTCGTATGAAGGTTCTCATTGTTCTAGATGATGTTAATGATCTAGATCAACTAGATATTTTAGTTGGAGGTCATGATCAGTTTGGATCAGGTAGTAAAATCATTGTGACAACTAGAGATATGCAAGTGCTTATGGCTTACAAAGTTGATGATGATGACATATACAAGGTAGGAGAATTGATGTTTGATGAAGCACTTAAGCTTTTCAATTTGCATGCCTTCAAACAAAACCATCTTGAAATGGAGTACTCTGAGCTATCAAAGAGGATCGTCAATTATGCCAAAGGCATTCCACTAGTTCTTAAAGTTTTGGGTCATCTTCTTTGCGGAAAAGATAAAGAAGTGTGGGAAAGTCAGCTAGACAAATTTAAAAAAATGCCAAATAAGAAAGTTCATGATGTAATGAAGCTAAGTTATGATGATCTAGATCGCGAAGAGCAAAGGATATTTTTAGATCTTGCATGTTTCTTTAGTGGATTGAATTTGAAAGTGGGCTACATAAAACTTTTATTGGAAGATCGTGAAAGTGGTAATTCAGTGGTTGTTGGGTTAGAAAGGCTGAAAGACAAAGCTCTTATAATTATTTCTGAAGATAATGTTGTCTCTGTGCATGATATTATACAAGAAATGGCTTGGGAGATTGTTTGCCATGAATCTAGTGAAGACCCTGGAAGCCGCAGTCATTTGGGGGATTCTAATGATGTTTATGAAGTATTAAAATATGATAAGGTAAAAGCATAAATTAAATATAATTTTTTTTGATAAGATTTGAATTTTTTGTGGGAAATGTGGTTTTTAGCTGTGTTTAAATTATTATTATTTTTCTACTTTATGGCAGGGGACTATGGCTATTAGAAGCATAAGGTCGTTCTTGCCACAAGACACTAAAGGCAGGAAACTCATGTTGAGGCCTCAAATATTTGCTAAGATGAGCAAACTACAATTTCTGGATTTTTTTTACGAATATGATACATATTGCTTGGATCTTCTTCCTCAAGAGCTTCAATCTTTACCATCAGAACTAAGATATCTTCGTTGGAAGAATTACCCTCTGAAATCCTTGCCAGTGAAATTTTCTGCAGAAAAACTAGTTATTTTGGACTTACCAAATAGTAGAGTGCAAAAACTTTGGGATGGAGTACAGGTAAATATATGTTTTCGTTTGTTATAATTTTCTCTAAATTCAAGGAATACTAAATTAACAACTTATGCTCATGTCTGATGTCTTTGTTTGCTCTATTTTATTACAGAATCTGGTGAATTTGAAAGAAGTTAAACTCAGGTTTCCCATTGTCTGAAGGAGCTGCCAAACTTTTCAAAAGCCACAAATCTTGAAGTACTTGATATCTTTAGTTGTGCTCATTTGATTAGCCTGCACATTTTCTCTCTCGACAAACTTGAGAAATTGAATGCAAGTTTCTGCGCTTCCCTTATCAGAGTTACAAGCGATACCCATTTAACCTCCCTCAACCTTCGAAATTGCTGTAAACTCAGGGAATTCTCAGTAGGGAATACGATAAAACTGAATTTAGAATTCACCCGTTTGGATGCATTGCCAGCATCTTTTAGACATCAAAGCAATCTTGAATTCCTAGATCTCAGAGGCAGTGACATTGAGAGCTTGCCTTCATCCATCAAAAATCTTACAAGACTGCAACATCTATGCATACGTTATTGTAAGAAGCTTCAGACTCTACCTGAGCTGCCCCCCTCCCTTGAAACTCTAATTGCCGAAGGGTGCAAATCTCTAGAGATTGTATTGTTCCCTTCAATAGTCACTGAACAATTCAATGAAAATAGGAGAAGGGTTGAGTTCTGGGATTGCAGGAATTTGGATAAACATTCTCTCATGGCTATTGAGTTGAATGCGCAAATTAATGTGATGAATTTAGCACACAAACATTTATCCACTTCAGAACACGATTGTGTTGAAAATTACGATGATCAAGCAACTTCCGTGTATGGGTATCCAGGAAGCAGAGTTCCAGAGTGGTTTGAGTATAAGACGACAACTGATTGTGTATTTATTGATCTCTCTTCTGCTCCACCCTCCCCTCCGTCAGACTTCATTTTCTGCTTCATCATCAGTCACTACAATGTAATTGTGACATCGAAATTTAAAATCATTATCAGTGATGGTGAAAGTGAGTGTAACATAGGCAGTCTCGAAATGTACATGTCTTCGCAAATGAGCACCTCTCAATCTGATCACGTGTGTGTGATGTACGACCAGCGCTGTTCTCGCTACCTAAATAGCAGGGTCAAAACACAGGCATGGTTTAAAATCAAGGTTACTACAACAGTCACAACATCCAGGGGTCAAGAAGATGAGCAAATTTCGTTAAAAGGGTATGGGGTAAGCCCAATAAGCACACTGGCATATCGCAATTTCATTCATCAAATGGAATTTGCGTGATTGTACTCTAAATACCTCAATGTCGTATGACAAATGGAATTTGGCTATGCTTAGTATCATTCGATGAACTTCCTTCTTCTAGTTTAAGGTGAAGTTTTTAATTTAGAAGAAAGTTTATTATTTGATATACTTGAAACCCAATTGGTTATAATATTCGAGTTGTCAACATAGCTCTTATAATTTAAAGTCATAACATGGACATGTTAAATGTTTAAACAAACAGATTCAAGCTACGATTACTCAAAAAGATACTAGTATGTAAGTATACTCAAAATTACCATGAAAGATACTACTATGCAGGCATCGATTGCATGTTCTTCTTAATGTGGATTAGTTTTTCTTCTTAACTGCCGTATGTTTTGCATTTTTGTAGGCAGTGTTCTTAATGAAAGTACTATTGCTGTGCTTTTAGATAGACACGGGCAATATCTGCACCAGAAAAGCAAGGCTTTCATTAGTTGGCACGCAAGTTTGGTTGTTAGTATCTTTGCTAACTGATGCTCTGGCACTTGCATTCTATTTACATGTATGTAAAAGTTGTACAAGATCAATTGATCAAAACACATCTCCAATGGAGTTTAGCCCATCCAGTTGCCAAGTGTTGTGTGAACTCAAATGAATAAAATTCTGTGATCGATCAAATGTATTATACAGTGAAATCAAGCCAATTGCATATGATTAAGTTCTAAAACTTTTGCTGATGAGAAAATTATTTGTCCAGGAAAGATGTTTAGTTTTCAACAATCTAGACTCGAATTGACTTACCAAACCCTGTCAGCGTATTCAGAGGACTAATACCACTGTTTTTGTACCCTACCACAGTGAACAGTGAAATGCCATATTTGTCACATTATAGTGCAGCATTCCAATCTTAAACCAGAATCTTATCAAAAATCCTCTCTGAACCAAGACTTCATAACACATTATACTTCATCTCATTAGTCTTTGATCCTATAATTCTTTTTTCATGCTTACGATGCTATGAAAGCCAAAAGAAAACTCCCATCTCCCAACTATTTTTCTTATGGTGCACAATTTCTTTCCAGAGACAGAAGTTATGGAACATGAAATCAAACAGCATTAAGCTAAAGAGTTAGTTGTTTGGAATTAGAATTTTAAGTGTAGTAAAGTAATGAGCCAACAGTTTTAAAAAACAAGGCAGGTGTAAATTCGGAGGATAGTTTCGGAAGCCAGGAATATCAGAAACATTCTATATTTTGAGTAGAATGATGAATTTGCAACCATTTAACAATAATGCAACGCATTTTGTTTCTTTTCTCTCTTGTAAGCGACCTTTGCTAGTAACTAAAACAACTAAAGCTAAATATATCATTCAATAAAGGGATAAAAGAAGCAAAGGTAATACAATACAGAATACTGTTGACATATCATTACATGGTTGATGGAGCAAATATATGCCACAGGATAGGAAGGGAAAGCATCAGACCTTTCTTGTATTGAAAAGGACCAAATCATTCGACCACCTTGCAGAAATACTGTCTTCTTCAGCTTGAAGAGTCACCAAAAAATAAAATACAACATCTACAATAGCTGGACTGCATTTATACCATATCTACATTTAGTTTCAAAACGATGTCGTTTTGGGATTGAAAGATTAGAAAATTAAAATTATAAAGATTATAATAACCCTGAAATAAATTAAAATTCCAAAAACATAATGATTTTCTCCCCAAAATGACGTCGTATTAGGCTTACTGCAAATAACTTATATGCAGTAACTGCAGAAAAAACGAATCCATTTATTAAATACGACCCAATAATTGTCAATAAATTATAATCGTTGGATTGACGTAAATCAACGGTGATTGAATTGGTAGTAAGAGTGATAAACTTTTATGGTGGCAAATATATCCCTTCCTAAAATTGTTGTCCCTATAAGATTTTTTTTTCATAAAAACTCATATTCAGAGTTAGTTGGCCAGATTTACTTAGCTGTTTGATTTTCTTTAATCTATTGTTGCATTAAATTCAGTCATCCACTTGGATTAGTCCTCAGAAATAATTATAGAGAAAAATATAATGTAGTACAACCATGATTAATAAAAAACAAATGAAATAAAAATGGAAAGCTGATGTGCACATTATTTCAACATTCATTCGCACACCGGATTATATGTCATTTGTACCAAATTCGTTATTAATGTAGTCTCTTTTATTTAAATTTTTCCATTAATTTATTAATTACTTGATTTATTCAATTCGAGCTAAATAGGACAATAATAAATTAATAACAGCAAAAATCATGCTCATTTCCAAATTTTTTATTTTCTGTAATTAATTGATGGAATTTAAACACCAAACCACAAAAGCAATCAATTATATGAAAAAAAAATGGAAGTACACCACGTGTCACCATATTAACGTTTCAAATAAAATTGTGTATGCACCATACAAAATTTTCTTTAGCTTTTATGCCCACAAAATCTCTATAACCCACAAAAAAATATCAGTGTAGTAACGACAAAGACAACATTGGATTATTTCACTCCCACTAGAATTAGATGTAGCCCTTCTAGTTTTAAGTGCTAAGTGCTAAGTGCCAACCACCACACATAGAAACTGAAAGAGTAACCATGGAAGCTGCACTATGCAGTTCACTTGCTCTTTCACCCAACCAAGTATTCAGTGCATCAAATCCTGGTACTTTCCCTTTTTCTTTCAAACCTATGGATTAATTCTAAACTGTTTGCTCAATCTTTGTTATGTTACTTTCATGAACAAATTGCACTAGTTGTTTGTATTTATTACATTTTTCCAAGAATTTGAGGATGTGAAGATATCAAGTGCTAAGCTTTCTTGTTCAATTTCTTTTTATGCACCCATTTTCAAGTTAAATGGTTCATATTTTAATTGATATTTAACTTTGTAATTGCAGGAGATAAAAATTTTCTTTTCAAATATAGTAAAGACCGGAGTATTGCAATGACAGTGGCTGCCCCTGGAATAGGGAAAGGTGGTGGGTTGTTGGAGAGGCCAACCATAGAGACAACATCACCTGGAAGGGAATCTGAATTTGACTTAAGGTAATTATAGCATTTGGAGCATAATTGAGAGGAATCTAATACTGTATTATATAGATGAAACATCTTTCTAATGCTTCATATAAAAAGAAGAGAAGTCCTGGTTAGTGGGTTGAACTCTGTTGTATTATTTTCCTTTTCTGATATATTCCTTTTTTCTTTAATATTTGCATTTAATTTTGTTTCTTGCTTTCATTTATAATTTCTAATAAGTAATAATTGTTAAACCACTTGAATGATAAAACTGAGGCACCACCAATGAAGTACTGACCTTAACCATTAATTTCCTACTGTGTTGAGATATATAGTCCCACATTGGTTGTATGTGCAACTAATGTGGAGTTTATAAGGTCTTGGCCACTCCCACCCTTAGAGCTAGCTTTTGGGGTGGTGTATCCCAAGGTTCTTTACATGGTATCAGAGCTTGAGTGACTATAAGGTCACCGCTCCCCACTTTAAAGTGGAATTAAAATAAAAGCACAAAAAGGTAAACCAAAAATTGGACCTGTGCAATATCCACGCTTCTAGCCCAAAGGGCTCTCGTGTGAGGGGGCGTGTTGAGATATATAGTCCCACATTGGTTGTATGTGCAACTAATGTGGAGTTTATAAGACCTTGACCACTCCCACCCTTAGAGCTAGCTTTTGGGGTGGTGTATCCCAAAGTTCTTTACAGTGTTAGTCTAAGATGTGCTGTGAGAGTGAGTAGAAGTTTCTATTATGGGCTAAAAATATAGGCTTGTTCATATTCCATAATTATACATCAATTTGAACTAGCTAGACTCCTACAGCCAGATGTGAAGTTTTGTTTTTAAACCATTTTTTTTGACTTACCAACACTATTACTACTATTAGATGTTGATAATGATGAAATGCAAGTATGGTGATATGTTTACTCTGAGGTTTCATTAATTGATAATGATTCCACTATCCTTTGGTGGTTTAATGTAAATGGTATATTGATAATGATGGTTGATATCATTCTTACATTTTGTTAGAGATTCACTATGTTTATTTTTGAGATGATCTAAGACATGATTGTTAAATGGAAAGTGATTGAATGGTTTCCTTCGCTTGTTGCCTTTGGAAAAGAATTGTAGTTATGAAGTGGTGAATCCATTTTGTGGACCCTTTTCTTTGTTTTCTCCTGTCTCATTTTTGTTACATGTTTTAAGTCAAAAGGGAATGCTCAAATCTTTGATGACATGTTTTCTACCAGGAAATCAAGAAAAACATCCCCACCTTATCGAGTATTGCTGCACAATGACAACTATAATAAGCGAGAATATGTGGTGCAAGTGTTGATGAAGGTGATTCCCGGAATGACACTTGATATTGCAGTTAACATCATGCAGGAGGCACATCATAACGGACTAGCAGTGGTGATCATCTGTGCTCAAGTGGATGCTGAAGACCACTGCACGCAGTTGAGAGGAAACGGCCTTTTAAGCTCAATTGAGCCAGCTGATGGTGGGTGTTAACCATTGGCAAGAGCTTTGATCTAATAATATCATTGGTATACTTATATGTATATTATACACACAATCCATAATATTCACCTTTCCATTCGTTAAGAATAGTGGTATAGAAAATTGGTGTCTAGGCAAGGAAAGGGGTAGTGCTAGTTAGTACTTTTGCTGGACATATATTGCTTCCAATCGGTAGCATTATTTTGATTTAACGTGTTATACTTAGTGTCTAATCTCTATATTTCCACCCTTCACTGAAGCAAGCCTCTTATATCAGCAAATCACCAAAACATAGCCTAGAAAATTGGTTGTCTAACATATGAATAACTATTGTTTATGTCTTGGATTAAGAAGACTGGTTGATGCTCAAGCAGAATAAGTGTTAGTCAAGCATCAATGGTTAATCGTATAAGTATCAGCAAGGCATGAGTTTTGAAGTCTCTCTGCCACATATAATGCCAAAAAGAAGTTATATGAGGAATATTTTAAATCTTTAAGTTTGCAGCATTAAAGACAATCAGATATGGCTATCCATCAGTAAAACATCAATCAATGTGTTTGGTAGGAGGTTTCTTTTATGATGACGGAAAATTGAGATGGGTTTTTTAGTTGACCATGTTTGATAGGAAGTTTTAAAAAATTTGCCCAATCATTCGAATTTGCATAGCAATCTCAGTTTGTGTGTAAAATTGAAAAAATTTGCTATTTTAAAATACCACCCAGAGGATGGTATTCTCATTACCCCGTCAAACCAAAAAATAGGAAAAAAAGCAATAGACACAAATATTCTTTCTCAAAAAACGTGCCAAAAGAAAATTGGAGAGAAAAATGTTCTCCTTTAGCAAACGTGCCAAAAAGCAATGACCTACCAAACAATTTTTTTTTAACTTTTTTACCAAACTCACTTTTCTCAGATAAAAAAATGTTCTCCTTTAGCAAACGCAACTTTAAAGTTTAATCAGGGCAGGTTGCAATCTTTGTTTGAATAATATATAATCAAAGATAAAAGAAAATCCAGGAATCAAGAATGACAATAGGCATGCAATAACTGCTTACAATTATACTTATCTTTTGATGTAAAATGACAAAATCTAAATGAAGGCATAGATGCTAGGCCACACTGACTAAACAATTTGAGATGGTTTATACAGAAGCAGTGGGAAAATTATGTTCCAAACACAAAGTTCCAAAGCAGCACAGCAAAACCCCCTTAAGATTTTTGCTTTTCTACACAGGTTCTGTATCTCACATATATAATCATTGATTCTAATTCACATGCAGTGCTTTGCCTCCCTTAAAATCCACCAATGAACTGACAAAGGAAACCCTATGTTGTCTGAAGGTCTAATTTCATTAATTTATACAAAAAGAACTAGACAAAGTTGAGAACTGATGTCAACTGCAACTTGCCAAATCAGTATTTAGAAGGATTTCTGTCATTAGAGGATAATATACATAGTGGTTTATGCTTAGAAAAAGCATTACCAATTAACATTGCTGGTAAGTTTACACCAAAAAGAAAACATATCTGATAAGTGGAACTTTGAAGGCATTAAGTTAATCATAAACAAACACATCTCTTAAATTTAATTGAACATGTAATGCTTATGGAATCCAGAGTTAGACCAGCAAAATTGTGTTTAAAAAAATTGAAGTTACAAGAAGATTCAATATTTTAGCATGCTGCAATTAAACAAGGATTAACGCCCCTTTTTTTAGGAACATAAACATATAATTTTTATTTTGGAGGCATAGATAGTAATAGCTAGATTTTGTAACCCATATATGGGAAGCTAAGATTTGAACCTAGGTCTTCTACCTTGCTGGTATAGGCTTGAACCACTTGTGATTGCTTCAGGTAAACACATCATTACATGCAAACTTAAAAGTATCCTCCATTGTAAGCCAAAAGTTACATTTTTTTTTATTTTTTTTTTTGTGTGTTTGTGTTTATTTTTTGGGTAAACAATATGTCAAGAAATATTTATGAATAGAAAACTCTCTTCTTGATGAACATTTATGTTGTTTAGAAAATACTATAGCTTGGTCACTGAAGAACATAGTAACTCGATATCAGAATCTTAAACTGCATTTCATGATTTAATATAGAGCTTTATTAATCTCATGCAATAGGAGAGAAGCTCTCTCATGCTATAGACACAATCATGTGTGAGATCCACCTATTTATAAAAGAAAAAAAAGATAAAAAATAACACGGAAATCGATGTATGTGTAGGAGAGGAAAACACTCTCCTACAACATAAGAGTATATTTTCCCTTTAATATATTTGTCAACTAATATGGAAGTCACAAAAAAATAAAAGAAGTGACAAAATAATGTTGTATTTTATTGTGGCTAATGAAATTTGATGCTGAACTCATATATCCATCCGTCTGGGATTGCTCAAGCAATTACAGTCATCCAATGATCATCACAACTACCTACTCTTGTGAATATCAAAGTGTCACATAAGATAACTCAGTCTGGCTTACTAGACAATTGAAGTGTGTTCAATTCAGTTTAAATTACGTAGATAAAACCCTTCACATAATATTACTTGCTGTCCTTCTTATAACATAAAAAGTAATAAATTATTTTCTACCTATTTTTTATCGCATAAGAAATAGTAAAAAAATATTTATAGTATATTATACTTCCACTTTCCTTATCAATCATTCCCTGAATGCACATTAAGCCAATATTTTCTCTAGCCTGAACAATATAGAAAGAGTAGAAAATTAATACAATAAGTATGTCAGCCAACAAACTTTGCCAATTCTAGTTTGGCAGCATTTAAATGGATAATGACATCCTCCAACGATGTAATGAATAACCCTATTATGTGATCAAATAAATTTGTACAGCCAATTCTAAAGTTGGAAATTTCAGATGGATAAATGGTTCAAATCAAAATAAATTAACAGTTAGATAGAAATTGATACGGATTGAATTAATATAAAAAGAAATAAAGAAAATGATCCTCTTATTTGTAATTTAACATAATCATGTCATGTTGAAGGATCTTAACTATTAATAATTAAATCAACGGTGAAGATTGTATAACTTCATATCCTTATATTTTTTCTCTCTCCTCCCTTATCACTATTAACTCACCCATGTATGATTATAATTGACCAACATGACATGATCATGTTAATTAACATATAAGAGGATCCACTCTTAGAAATAAATGACTTATAAAATATAGAAGGGGTTTGCATTTATTATTTAACATAACACAAATTTTTTTTACACACACAATATTTTGTGGGACCTACACTTTTTGAAAAAAAAAAAAAACTATGACACGCAAAACGAATCTTTGCAACATTACACGATCATTTTTTTTACAACATAACTCTTATAAAACCCAATATAAAAAAGACTTTCAACTTCTCCTTTTACTAGAAAAAGTTAGTGATGATTATCTTCCGAGAGAGAAAAAAAATAGTCCTACCTTAAAAAATAAAAAAAGTTGGTATAAAAGTTGAACTGAGAAAATGACATGAGAAGAAATTTCTCGTATAAAAAAAAATATTTTCCCCGTAAATAAAATATGATTGATACAGGATTCTGTTTTTCCAAGCAATAAAATATGATTGACACAAGATTCTGCTGGAACTTATCTAAATATTATTGAACAAATAACAATACGATGGATGCACTGATTTGAGCATAAACAGAAAACAAAATACAGTAAAATTGACCTATCTTGTACCATGCAGATAGAAACAAAATCGGCTATCTAATTCCAATAATTGCATAACCAAAAAATAAATCAATTAATGTTATAGGAGATAATATATGAAACTCATATAAAGCCGGAGGAGAAAAAAAATATAAATTTTATCTATTTTTATATACGTGTAAAGATAATTTTATTAACAATAATATAAGATAAAAAAACACTAATCCCAAAAATCAATTACTTTTTCATCCACCAACCCAACAAATCAATCAAATGCAAGCATTTCTATCTCTCTCTTTCTGAACTGTGTACACTTTTTTGAAACCAATAAAGCCAAACACCCACCTCAACTCAACACTCCACACTACTACTCACTCTCTTTTTCCCAGTTCTTATCGTAACCAGAAAAATGGCTCTGAACTCACCATTTCTTACCCTCACAATAGTAGCACTCTACATCACAACACTTTCTCTTCTTCCATCTTCAACCTCCACTCGTACTTCACCATCATCATCACAAACTCCTTCTCAGTTCTCTACCACTCTTCTTAACATCTCTTCTTCCCTCCACCAAACCCACCAAGTCCGCACCTTTAACCCTCAAACACTTGAATCTTTTCACCAACAAGAAATCCAACACACACCCACTTCATCTTCTCCTTCTTTCTTCTCTGTTCAGTTACACCCAAGAGACTCTCTCCACAATGCAAACCACCAAGACTACAAAACCCTGGTCCTGGCCCGACTCGCCCGTGACTCAGCCCGAGTCAACTCGCTCACCACAAAGCTCCAACTCGCCCTCAACGACGTTAAAAAGTCGGATCTCCATCCGACCCAAACGGACCTGCTCCGACCCGAAGATCTCTCCACGCCGGTTTCCTCCGGCACCGGCCAAGGCAGCGGCGAGTACTTCTCTCGGGTCGGCGTGGGTCGACCCGCGAAGCCACTCTACATGGTTCTCGACACCGGAAGCGACGTGAACTGGATCCAGTGCAAGCCATGCTCCGATTGCTACCAACAATCCGACCCGATTTTCGACCCGACTACATCCTCCTCGTTCTACCCGTTAACCTGCGACGCGCAACAGTGCCAGGCGCTTGAAACCTCGGCGTGCCGTAACGGAAAGTGTCTCTATCAGGTTTCTTACGGTGATGGGTCGTTCACGGTTGGTGAATACGTAACCGAAACGGTGTCGTTTGGTGATTCCGGGTCAGTGAATCGGGTCGCTATCGGTTGTGGCCACGATAACGAGGGTTTGTTCGTTGGCGCCGCTGGGTTACTCGGTCTCGGTGGTGGGGCCCTCTCATTAACCTCGCAGATCAAAGCGTCGTCGTTTTCGTACTGTTTGGTTGACCGTGACTCGGGAAAATCGTCGACGCTCGAGTTCAACTCGCCCCGACCCGGCGACTCGGTCACCGCGACGCTGCTGAAGAACCAGAAGCTCGACACGTTTTACTACGTGGAGCTCACCGGCGTGAGCGTCGGCGGCGATATGGTGTCCGTTCCGCCGGAGACATTCGCGGTTGGCAGCTCCGGCTCCGGCGGAATCATCGTGGACTCTGGCACGGCCATAACTCGGTTGCGGACTCAGGCTTATAACTCGGTTCGCGACGCGTTTAGGAGTCTGACTCAGAATCTGCGTTCCGCAGAGAGCGTTGCGCTTTTCGACACGTGCTACGACTTGTCGTCTCTGCAGTCCGTGCGTGTGCCAACGGTGTCGTTTCACTTTAGTGGCGGGAACACGTGGAATTTGCCGGCGAAGAATTACTTGATTCCGGTGGATTCCGCCGGAACTTTCTGCTTCGCGTTTGCGCCGTCGTCGTCGGAGTTGTCAATCATAGGGAATGTGCAGCAACAGGGGACACGTGTCAGCTTTGATATGGCAAACTCTTTAGTTGGATTCTCACCCAACAAATGCTAGATATGTAATTTACATATTTAACCCCACTCTTATATATTATTATTATTATAATAATTTATAAGGTTTGGTAAAAAAGAAAAAAAAAATTAAATATAGTATAAGTTTTTTAGATTTGTATGGTTATGGGAATTTAGGGAAAAGAGAAAAGGAAAAGGGAAAGGTAAAGGAAAAGGCTATGCCTTGGAGCATTCATTGAATTGCTTGGGTGATGAAAAGGGTCCCACCCAAATAAATTTGGGGAAGGTTTTGCCTTTGGACTGTGTGGGGTTCTCATAAATGAGTACTGTTTGGTTATTTTTTTCTGTTGAAAAATGGTTTATAATTGTACACTCAATGGCATGGCTTGCAAATTTGTTGAAGCTTTGGGACCATTTTAGTTACTAAGATTGAAGTTACAGTTCTTGGTATTATTATACTTTTGTAGTTTGTTGTGGACTTGTGGTATTTTATAGGCTTTGCATGTAGGCCATCTGGCAAACAATACGACAATATGATATGAGAGTAATTTTCACATGGATCTCTATTATATTTATGATGGGACTGATTATTTGTATGTTCATCCTTTTTTGTTCTTTCTTTTGAATATATGTTTTTTTTTTTTGGCAATGTTTGATTGACGTGTATCTATTTATAAGAATAACGAGAACAAATTGTGATAATAATGTTGTTTGGTACAAGCTAGAAATAAAGCCACTATTTTGAAATCAAGAGTTTAGTGATGTGCTTGCTAGGGTTATTTGAAAATTTTGTTCTGGATATTTGATATGCTAGAATAATCAAACCCACAACATAGCTTTGGTCTTCATTTCTTAAAAGACCTGACCAAGGGACCCCTTAATTGGTGAGTACTCAATGGGAGCAATGCACTTTTTTATTTTTTTTCTCAAAAATAAAGTATTAAAGGTAACGTGAGATTTGAAATAATCAAAGTGAGGTATCCGTTGCCTTTTTGTAGCTTTATAGCATTATTCCAAAAATTAAATTTGGTGACTGGCTTAATTGGTCACATTATAAAATGTTAACTGGTTATATTTTGTTTAAGGGTTTAATTTAACTAGTTTAATTAATTAAGATATAATTCAAAAGTTCTGCTGATTCAACTTTTTTTCTTAATCGGTTGCTTTGTTTGATTTTTGAAACATCAAATTTTAGTTATGGGAACTCATGTGTTGATGTAGATAGGTAATTTATATTCAATTTCCTGTGTCAATCAAAAAAGAAGAAAAGAGATAGGTAATTATAGCGTTGTAGGTGAACAATGGTGGGTCCCAATTCCCATACATTAAATTGTGGGGCAATATGTCCGTGATTGTCGGCTAGATAATGCATGGATTCATGCATTGCAGTAAAATGAGTAAATAATGTTGATTGGTCTTGTTTGGATATTATGTCGTGTGGTGATTTCAACAGCTGGAACCCATTCTCAATTCCACATTTCAAGAGTATGTTCAAATTTTATTTACAGTTAATAGTTTCTCTTTTACATAATTAACAAAGGGTTTTATAAGAGTTATGTTGTAGGAAAAGTGATTGTGTAATGTTATAGAGATTCGTTTTACATGTCTTAATTTTTTATTTATTTTTTTGTTTTAAAAAGTGTGGGCCCCACAAAATATTGTGAGAGTAGAAAAATTTGTTGTGTTATGTTAAAGGATAAAACGAAAACCCATTAACAAATATGCCCCAAAAGCACAATGACAAAACTCTTGCTGGGTAGGATATAAGTTTAAATAACTCTTTTTTGGGGACAAAATTAATTGATTATATTTGTTTCACGTTTAAGTCCCTTCAATGATTAAATCATGTAGAGGTTTCAAGATTAAAAATAGAGCTGTTTATGGAGGAAGAGATATCAATTCGGAATTATGGAATTCATCTTCAAGCAAAATGCAAAAGAAACAGTAAAAAAGAAAAGAAAACAAGATTAATATAATATGTGATACAAAACGAATCAAGTTGGTCAAATCAAATGATTATAAGGAAATGTTATCATTATTCTTACTGCTTGAGTTACATTTTAAATTAATATTTACAAGAAATATTTTTCTGTAATTAATGCAGATAAATTATCTGTATTAATTTTCAAAATGACGTCGTTTTGAGATTGAAAGATTAAAAAATTATAATTATAAAAATTATAATAATTCTGAAATAAATTAAAATTACAAAAATACCATAATTTCCATCCTAAAACATCGTATTGGGCTCACTGCAGAGAACTTATCTGCAATAATCACAATTAATATTTATGAAAATGAATTCTATTAAATTGACCATGCGGTTGTGTGCTAAAGCATTTGACAATGGTAAAATATCAGGAAAGTCTGAGTTTGACGACGACGACGACAACAACAACAAAATTAAGATTATGTGAAATATCATTACGGAAATTGAAATTGTATTGATGTGGCATGACGGTGGATACATGAAATGCATGGAAAGAAAGAAAAAATCAGAAAATTGAAGGCAGTGGTTGGACTGCAAATGTTGAAGCAGACATGAAGAGGAAAGAGGTATCCTTCAGTTGCCACAATCATTCCATTGACAAAATGCATCAATTCGAGTAGGTCAACCACAAATGCTGCAAAAAGTAAGTGCAAGTCCCAAAATCAGTTCCTACTTGAAAAAAAGTTTCAAGTGTTTATGTCACTAATGAAGCCTCATATCTTGGAGTTTTTCCTCGCCCATTGGGTAGCCACTTTCTTGCGTGTATCTAAACTTTTGTTGACCACAATTTATTACACAATGGGATAATTCAAAGAGGTAAATTATCAAGTATAAAAAGAGGATGACAAGTTAAAGTGCAAATAACGCAGTTAAATAAAATTTGATTTCAAAATCAAGCACTTTTTAAAAATAATTTTAACTGTTTTCCAACTAAGACTATTGCTCGGTAATATTCTTTTTTCTAAAGATAGTTGTTCTGTTCTATTCACGAAATTAATTAAAGATGACTTGACGTAGTGGGCATCAGAACCCTTTATACGTCTAATTTTTGCAAAACAAAATAAATAAAATAAAATTAGAAAAATACTTTGTTCATGTTACATATCCACCCAAATTCGAGTCAATATTTTTTTGTTTTTTTAGTTGTGGAACCTGTTTATTTATGTCTTTACATGAGACAACACTTCCTCATGTAATATGAGAAAAACATTGCCCGTAAAATTATTATGATACTTTTACCTTCAGTAAGTCTAAGGAAGATGACAAGAAACCTTTTTCCCACTTGTGATAGGGTATGCACAAAGGAGTGCACATCACCGTTGACGATTCAGTGAATAAGGAATCGTGATTAACGCCTTAGAAAAGCTTGGAGATATTTCTTTCTTTACCTTTTATTTTTTCTGGTATGGTCAAAAGAGGAATTATATAACCAATTGAAGAGTAGAGCTATCCATAAAATCAACAGAAAAGTTACCACGTAACATACTTTTTTTTGCCAAAAAGTACACAACAAACTTTGTTCAATGAAGTATGGCTTCCAGAGTAAACAACCAAATACGATTTTGTTACTTTTGAAATTTTCTTGTCTTACCATAAAAATATTACTGACCTGCTTTCATGCAAACCAAAGCCAAGTTCTCTCCATACAAAAAGAATGGATGTACAGTTACAGCCAAGTCCATTCATGTCAACAGAATGGGGGACTCTTTTCACGTAAGCAGCATTGGGGCGCTCAAGTTATGCAAAATTACTTAAGCCATGTAATGAACCAAGTACTTGGCTATCAATCTTCCTGGTCATTTTCAGTGGGGGCACATTTTTCACTATTCAAAATATTGTTTAGTCCTTCAACTCTTGAGTTGATCTTCTTGCAACACGACCCTGCATGGTTCTAATTAAACAACCAGTCGACCTATGTGCTTTATCTTTTTTGGCACTGTAAACAAACGTTCCACCAAGATTGCGCGCAGCTTCCGCCTTCCAATCCGTAATGAGATATAAAATTCAAGTGTCAGTTCCAGGTCCAGAGAAGAACAAAGACACTAATGCTTCACTTCTCTTAGCAAGAAGGGTCAAGGAAATAATACTATCACCCAGATAGGATCATCATATACGATAGTGGGGTTTGTCCTTTATTTTATGAAACGTGTTGTTATTACCAATTAAGACTGGATACATCGATTTTTTTGTGTTTTGCCATTCTAGAATTTAAAAAAATACCTCTATATTTCATTGCAAAAGTGTAGAGTAAAACAACAGTTATATGTACAATAAATTTGATACTTAAATATTGACAACATGCTCTCGTTCCGTCAAGTTAAAAATGACCACTGAAAAGGGGTTGTATACCCACCATGTGCACCGTTCAATTTGAGAAAACGACCACTCAAATTGAGTCGCATACCCACTACGGTGTACGTGGAAGATCAATGGTTCTCTCTCCAATCAGGAATTCCTCTGGGCCATGACTGCAGGAAAAGAAAATATAAGAGTCACTTAAATCCATCTATAGCAGTTATCACAGTGAAATTAGTATATTTACCTCAGATAACTCAGAGCAGACATTCGATAGAGACAGGTGAAGACCAAGACATGCAATCCAATGGTATAAAAGAATGCAAATGTCCGGGCATACCTGTAAGAGTACATTCATCAAATAACGAAAAGATGTACAATATTTTATCAACATATGGAAGAATGAAAGAACGCAAAATACACCCGATGTTCTCAAAGCGACAGTTTAAAGTTTCAAAAGTTTAAACAAAATGCCAATTACAATTGGCTCAATTGGCATAACAGAACAAAGTCAACTCAGATCTTGTGTTCAATTCCCTTTGGTGATCCCTTATTAGTAGGTTAATGGTTCCTTGAAGATTGACAGATCATTAAAACTTTCCCTTGGGAAGGATATCATAAAGAGAATAATAATTCATGATCTGTGAAGACAACAATTAAAACTAAGCTAAAGCGACCAACTTCCTTAGTTTCAGCATGGAGCATTTTGACTAGTAAATATATCATCGAGAAGTCATAGGAGAGGCTGTGCTGCAAAAATATGTTACAGAACATATTAATATCCATGCTTTGAGGTGTCCAGAATCTCATTAAAAGATCTATTTTCAAATTATGGAGATAAGACACACCCTTTTATCAATTGATGATGGAGATTAATCTTTATACTATAGCCAGACTTGTATAATGTAGTCTCAGTCTCTCAGAACCAGAATCAAATATGGAATTAGGGCAATGTATAATGGCCAAAATAAATAATAATATACAAAAGGTTGAAAAGATTGTTGCAACTTCTAGAGTAAAAATAAAATATCATATCAGCACGCAGAGGACCTCATTATCTGATATGAGCACATAAAGGAATATCATTAGTGAAATCGATTGATACTATCACACCACGGGACTAAAAGAAGCATCAGACGTGACATAGAATGAGGAAAATAGGTCAAAAGACGATGGGAAGCACATTGAGTTCAACAAAATTAGGTACGCTCAATGGAAAAAATCAATTGCTACCAGCAGGTTCGCGCATGAAACAAAGAACAACATTCAACATCAACATCACCTTTATCCCAAATTAATTGGGGTCGGTGGAAACAAAGAACAACATTAGGAGAGAAAATTCGACCAAGACAAGGATGGTATTGAGATAGATAGATTATAATATCACAAAAAACAAAACAAAACAAAAGTAAGATGGTATCAATAAGTGATCAGCGGGACTGTAATAACTGAAACTCAAGGCAGTAGAAAACAGAACCGGTAAGGTGAATTTGAGCTTCCAACCCGTGAAAGCAAATCTTTTCATAAACCATGATTAGTGAAACAATTAATGATTTGCATATAAGCTTGCAAATCAATGTATTCAAAGAATTGAGAAACTTTTCTGCCTTCATTAATTACAATATCAAACAAATTAACAAAGTATTTAAGCAGGAAAAAAAAGGAACAAAGGAAAATATCTGAAATAAGGCAGAGGCATTCGAGCATACTTGTTACCAAGGAGAAAACGTCCACTGCTGAGTGTAATTCTGTCCCTGAATCCCAGTTCCTTGTATCTTTGATCCCTTTCCTGATTACATTGAAAATAGATGGAAAAGTTCATAATTAGAATTAAATAATATTGATTAGAGAACAAAGTGATAGATGACCTTTTCATGTTTCCAACCAATCACTTCCTTATATTCCTCCTCCAACCCCGATCAATCCTTCCTCCCTTTTTCTAGTTAAGGTAGGGATAGGGAGGGAGATCCATACTTAATGAGAGTCCCTAGTACCGGTATTCAGTGAGTGTTTGGATGGGCTTTTTTTTTTCCTTAAAAGAAGCTTCCTTTTTTCAAAAAAATAAAAAATCCTCTTAAATCTTTTTGTGCATTTGGATAGCAACTTTTAAAAAAACCAAAATTTTAAAAAATAAATAAATTAAAATAGTGCTGCTTTTAGAAGTCAAGATTCCTTGCTTCTGAAAAAGGCAGAAGCCAAAAATCAAATAATTTTTTGAAAATTCAATTGTATCCCAACCCCACCGCCACCACTACCATCACATATCCTTTTTAGTAATTTTATATATAAAAAGTGCTTAATGATTTTAACATCTAAATAAATTTTTTATTTAAAAGTACTTTTTATGTATTCTATCCAAACGTTAAATAGCTTTAACTTTTAAAAAAAATTATTATTAAAAAAGCAAATCATAAAAAGTCATTTTTTAAAAGTCCATCCAAATGGGCTCTCAATCGCTTCAACAACAACTATTAAAACACATTTAACAAATGGAAGTTTAGACCTTCACCAAGGACATGACAGGCATTGTTCCGTGTGTCTGATGACAAGACATATACCATTTTCTAATCTCAGTAATAATACACCTGAAACCTCATTTTCTATAGAAATTATTTCACAAACACAAACAGTTGTGAAGAAAAGTTGTGTTTGATAGCTTCAACCCTATAATAGAAAAATGATTCCTTCAAAGATCTTATTATATGATTTTAATTATCTTGGACAGAGAGATGTTTCTGTTTCAATGTATGCACAATTCATTATAGTGAAGCCGTGCCACTCAATACAAACTTAAAATGCGTGTGCCAAATTAAAATAAATGTGCATCATTAGAGTAGTCACGATAAGCCACCTTTTTAGAGAATGCAGCAAAAGGATTTATATCATCCTCATATATCTTCTTGTATTTAGATTCAACATCTGACGAGAAACCAGTTTCAAGATCTTCTGCATACTGACCAAAAAAACACAAAGAAGTCAAGTTCAGGGTAAAAAAAAAAAAATGAACGCGAAGAAAGTAAAGGTTTAAAACAAAGAACGATGTAGAAAACCTTTCTAGAACCCCTAGAAACCACTTTCTCAAGATTATAATCTTGTACATAACGAATCTTCCCGTATAGTTTGACATTATCAGCTTTGGTCTTTTCCAGTTCCACTGTTAGTGCTCCAATCTTCTCCTTCAACTGTCTTATTTCCTATTAAAAGTGAAGAATTCACCCAAGTCAACATGTCACGACATCTACAATCTAAAATTTGATTGAAATAATGCATTTTAAAATAGAAAGGAATAAAAAAAAATTAGTCAAGATTGATTATAAACATACCTCTTCTGTCTCTCGCAAGCGTTTCCTAAATCGATCTCTCTGATTACAGATCACTTTAAGCATTGAGCTCTGATCATGGTCTAAGGATACTTGCCTTTGGCCTGCTGTATTCTGATGTAGAAGAGGCAATTTAAGAATTCTTTAAATCCAAATGAACAAAAATGCAACATTATGCAGAAGAAAATTCCAGTGTGATTAATCACTCGCTACAAAATTACTTAGCAAATGAAAATTTTCAATGTTTCCCAAAATCATAATCTTCTGATTGCATGCATTAAATTTTAAGAAAATCAACATTGTACCCAGATGCATCATTAAAATATCAAAGTAAATAGATTTCATCATTCAACTATCAAGAAAAAGCTGAACAATGATGGTACACACCACTTTACATAGAGCTTGTTGGCTTGAAGCATGGATAAAGTACACTGCCAAAAGCATAAGCTGGTAGGTAAGAGAAGGCCTAGGATTTTCTTTTTCTTTTTCTTTTTCTTTTTTACAACATTTCTAACAGACTGGAATTGCACTTTTCCATTGATGAGTACAACTAAACTTCACTCAACAAATCATCAGTGAGAACTAATTAGATTTTCCGTTTTCCTAAAGGAAAACAATAGTAATAAAACATCAATTGGGATAGCGCATCTTTTCAATAGTTGAATGCATGATACTTAGTTTCTATTGAAGATTATTCTTCAGAAGAAGTAAAATGCAGTAAGAATGGAAGTATGGAAAGAGGAACTCACCTCAGAAGCCTCACCCCCACCAGCTTCTGAAAGATCCCAGTCTTCAAGGAAGGTTCCTTTCTGATCTTTTGAATTGGAACTATATCCCTGTATCAAAAGGGGTAGCTAGGTGCATTAGATAAATAAAAAGCATAAAAAGAAATGGGCATCAGAGAGGGGTCCATATTCTATTTAGTGGTAATTGCTCCAAACCTTCAATATATCATCTTCCAATTTCTGTATCAATTTTTGTTGTTCGTTAACCTTTGCTGTAAATTCTATTATCTTCTGTTCTGCCGTTTCCAGTAATGATGTTTTCTCAGAAAGTGTGACCTGAAATTGGTAGAACAGATAAACCTCGAAATGCATAGCGATAACAACTGCAGATCATCTTAAAGAATAGTCCTCTACATGAAATTGTTATTGATTCCACAACATGGACAATGTTTAAATGCAGGACATACATGGGATACTTTCCTAACTGGCCATGCATTCTTGAAAAACTACTCTATATAAATGGCCAGAGTTATGTGAGTTGATTGTTTCTTTCATTATTATTTTTTTACAAAATCTTATTTGCTGTGGGGGGTAGGGTATGAGATGTCCCATTGCTAACCAAACCATGCTCGTACCTTCAACTGTGTTAGCTCATGTTCCATTTTACGGTTCTTGTCAAGAAGAAGAGACTCCATCTTGCTCATCTCCTCCCCACTTGTAGCCACTTCCCAATCTTCAGCCTCAATTGAATTATAACCCACCGCCTGCATGTATAGCTCATAAGGAGTTAGATGGATAGCGAAGTTTAAAAGGAGAGGTCACCAAAATGGTCATCACAGAATACAGAGAACAATAAAATCACCTGCAAAATTTTCACTTTCTTGCGCAGATCATCTACCGTTTTTTCTGTTGGCCTAGCTTGAAGCTCTTTCTTCATCATCTCAACAGCAGCCTCCTATATTAAGAGAAGGATAATGAAAATGTTAGCCAAAAAAAGAAGAAGTAATTATATAGAGACTCAACACATATGTCGTAACTGTTTACACTACATCAACAACACCTTTATCCCAAATTAGTCGGTGCTAGATGAACCCAAAAAAAAGTTACAAAAAGATTGAGAAAAATGACAAAAATAAACTTTTAAGTATTGTTATGGATATATATCATATCCTAACTACCTACTTAAGAATCCACTAAAGGATAAATACTCAATTATCCTAACAATATTAAACAACCAAGCTACTCAAGATAGAGTCATCATCCCAACAGAAAGGAAGTTGAATCCTACTACAACTGGGAGATCTACACAAGCCCAAGAGGTAATCCTTATAAATAAGAGGTTAAAGACCCCAAGGTACACACTTTTTTGACCTATTTACTATTACTGCCAACACTGTGCACACACTCACGTCTTGGCTATAAGCCTATTGCTTGTGCGCAGTGATTGGGATACTAGCTATAAGCTAACCAAGGTACCTATGTCTACGGTATCTCTGAGCGTATACCATACGGTATAGCAATACGGCCTTCTAGAACCTAACAAGTATATTATCCATAAAAAGTAATACACAATTGCAAGGAAAAATAAATTAAAATAAAATACAAATAAGGATGTATAGGAGGACAGAAAAGAATAAGAATAAGAAGGTAAGAAATAAAAAAAATAAAAAAAAAATAAAATATATGGGAAAAAAAAAGAAAAAGAAAACACATAAATAAATAGGTAAAAAAACAAATGTTGCTAAATCAGAGTATCATACACAAAAACCCACAAAGGAAGAGCACTATCATGAACGTATCTCAAGCAAGATAAAAAAAATTCCTATCATTGTAGAAGCAAAAGTTCATGAAGATCCTCCATGTCAAAACCACAATATGAATCAACAATTTTCTGAATGGAATAGTTAAAAAAACTAGTATCATAGTATCATGAACAGAGAAGCACTAAATTATGCGTGTCATGTAAATGAAATTGTATGATTTCTTTGTAATTGCTAAAATATTGACTGCAATGCATCTCATATGGAACTTGGCCAAGTCAAAACCCAAAATATATGGGGTCAAAATCTTTGGGTATTCACAATCACTTATAACGCATTGAAATATCTCATTTAGAAAGTCTTAAAAGACTTCGGTATACTAAAATATCACCTTTTCATTGAGCATTGCAGTAAGTTTCTTTACTTCATTCACGTGTTCTTCTCTTTCATTTGATAAGGTTGTTTCAATTTTGTGGAGCTCCATGTTCAATTCAGAGATTAGTTTCTCTTTGGCATTTAAAGAATTCTCAAGTGCACTATTTGAGTCCAAATTATCACTGCAAAACAAAAACCACCAGTAATCTGAAGACTATCGTCCAATTTAAAAGAAATTAAAAACAGAGAAGGAAATAAGAAGGGTTTGAGCAGCATGAATGAGTGACTATTCATACATAGATAGAGAGATAGAAAGAGAGAAAATGAAAACAAGTAAAAGTAGCTCTGCACAACTGAATAGCTTTCTGTATGATGAATTCATCACAAAAATATGGTTTTCATTGTTTTGGAAACTATACATATCCAATATCCATTGCTTAGCTGACAATAGTTTATCCAAGGAAAGATTAATAAGTAGAGGGATCCAAATAGTCAGTTCTATTAACAGAAAGATATACACCACAGGTCAAGAATGCAGTCCATGTCTTGCTCAGACACTTTGTTTTGAATTTTAAGTTAAGAGAACAGCTGTACAACATAATATATAATAATAACTCATAAAGCTAAAAATAGAGAACTGAAAAATAAGACTAACGGAAATATCCCTATATATCTAACAAATTCTGGTGTGTTGCTTAATATATGTGGAGAATTGTGATAACCTTTTCTAGTAATATGCATCTTTACTCATATATTTTGGAACAAGCAGTTTGAAACTTCACTTGGTTCCAAGATAACAAGAAATTGATGGCATAAACTAAACTGGTTTGATCAATGGCAAAGGAAGATGTTTCAGCTAGCTAATCTTTAATATATTGAACTGGGATGCTTTTCAATTACCATGTTTGGAAGCAACAAGACCAAAGGATCTTTGTAGGAAATGCAGACAGAAATATTTTCAAATTAAAAGGGAGGCTAAAGATGGAGAGGCTGAAGACAGATAAACCCAACAAAAAGAAAGGTTTCTCTATGTAGAATTCGGAAGTTAAAACTAGATCATATTCATTTTAGAAATGAAAATATGTACAACTATTGCTGCTTTGTTCGCTTGGGCAACAGAACATTATTTATCCAAAAAAGCAAAAGATGAGGACTACCATACCTTTTCTTAATTTCAGTATCTTCATTTGCAGTTTGTAACTGAGATCGGAGAACCCCCTGCATAGACACAGAAGGATCACTATAACAAACAGTAAGTTTGGCTAAATATGAAAAAGCATCAGCACTCAGCAGAGCTTGAGGCAAGATTCAATCCACTTAATGAGCGGGCCATTCCCTTTCTACCCTTAAATTGATACTAAAAAGGGACCAATACTTTCATTCCCCCCCCCCCCCCCTTTTTTTTTTTTCCTTTTTCCTTTTCTTTCCACGCAACAAGTGCATACCAAACAGAGCCTTAATTATTGTAAGAGTTGATTACGGACTAAACTGTATCCTTACATCATGAAGACCCAAGAAAGATCTACACAAATATATAGTTCATTCAAACAGTGGGACAACCATACACTATTCAATTTACAGTCATTGATAACAGCCTTTGTGAATGATATAATCTTGAAATCCTATTTTTTATGCCTACAGGTGGGAAGAACATTGTCAGTGTGACCAAAACAATGTGGATAGAGATGGGTCATCAATCGAAATTTAATGTAGAACATAAAGGATGAGCTTAAGACAAACTAAAGGAAATTTAACAAGGGGAAACAAATTTAGAAACTTACAACAACAACCAAGCCTTATTCCAACAGTTGGGGTCACTACATGGACCAATCGATAATCAACTACTCAAACAAAAGTAATTCCATAAGGAATAGTTAAGAGGGATATAGAGTTTAGGCACCATCTTCCTAGCCACCATTACTCTGCTTCTCCTGGCAGCATTTTTCTTGCAAATTTTAGATAATTTCTATGTTTTTAAAAACAAATTGTCCTGTGTTTCTTTTTTTCCCGTTTGAGTTTGAAATAGGACTGCCTGCTGTGTAATTGATATGTACATGGAATATGAATCGATTGCAGCACCGACCATTTTATTTTAAAGGATAATAGCAACAAATTGTTTTAACTTAATAACTCAACAGAGAACCTAATCTGGGACAATAACAGTCAAAAACAATATCCAAGTCTTATCCTGCTAGGAGGGTTGGCAATATGGATCAAATGATGCCATTTGGCTCTATCAAAAACTAAATTTTCAAAAAATACATATAGAGAAAGCTCTTTCTTAGTATTTTCTCCAAAGTTATCCCTTCAGTCTTTCTCTACCCTTTTCAATCAGACTATCTTCCATTTGATCCAATTTTCTCTAGAAACTCTGCTGGTTGACTCATCACACGAACGAACCACCTTAGTCAAATTTCAGTCATCTTCTCAATAGGTACTACCCCAAATTTATCCCGAATACATTTGTTTGTGATCTTATCTTAATTTTTTCTGGTATGTCCAATCATCCACCTCAAAATTATCATCTTCATTACACTTAAATGGATCTAAAATGGTGCACTACAATATTTCATAAATTCTAAACAAAGCGAGAAAACAGCAAAACTTCTGAAATTTTTGAAAATAAAGCACCTGATACACAATTACAAAAATCACACTTCAAAATCAAATAAAAGCTAGTAATTTGCACCTTCTCTCTTTCCAAACTAAGAAGCATTGTTTGTGCTCGCTCAACTTCATCCATCAGAAGATTGACCTCTGATTGCTTAGCTGCCCTCTCTTCATCTGAGATTTTTAAGAAAACAAGAGATATTTTCTTCAATATTGAATAATATTAGGAGAATCATGGTTTCAATATGAAGAAAGGTAGAGTGTCAGGATCAGATTATACAGTAATGTAAGAACCAATGTTACAGATTCGAGTGAAGAAGTGCACGAATAAAATTGAAATGATAACTATTTAATGACCAGATTGGGCACGGAGTTCAAACAACTGATTTTGTGCAAGTTCATGCAATTTCTGCATATTGGAAACACTATCTTTGGCATGCAGCAACTGGTCTTGCAGTGCTTGTTCCCTGCATACAATAAAGAGATCATAAGTCTAGGTAAGCAATACCAAGGTAGAGAAGGACAGTTCCAATAAAATCGTAGTAGGCAGTAAAGTACAGAGCAAGAGAACAAACTGATGAGAACCTAGGTATTCGATTATAGAAAAAATGGGAATAATTCTCAATTAAGAAACAGGTTCACAAGCATAGACTCTCCATCACTCACAGCAAACAGAAAGCTAGAGGAAACACTTTAAAAAAGAAATGAAGACGAAAAGATAACACAGGTATTGCAAGAGAGCTGTAACGACCCATCCAATCCCACACTCAGTCCTTGCCTGCCTCTCCATCTCACTGCCTTCCCTTCTTATAATTCATTCCCTAAACAGATTTTGTTTCTTTCCCTCCCACCACTCTGCCACGTTTGCAGGTAGTTGTTGGAACCACATTGTTTCTTCTGCTCATTTGGGGTGCTCATCTCATGATCCACCTATGCAATAGTGGGAGTGCTAACACAAACATTCCTAAATGCAGTTGTCTAATGTACTAAACGGACTAAACAAACAATTCGCAATAGCAGACAAGATTACAATAAGATACCTTTCTTTCAAAACTTCCATAGTTTTCTGGTTTTCTTCTGCCAGACTGCGTTGCTTAATCTCGACAATTTCTTTCACTTTCTCTTCCATCTGACTCAAATAAGTTCAAAAAACAAATTGAAATCCATTTAAGACAGTTAGGTCAAATTTGTAATTTAATTTTAAAGATGTTGGGGATCTAGAGAATTGTAGTCACATTGCAAATGTATCATTATCAATACAACGATTGAAAGGAACTTGTTATTAATTTATCAATATAATAGTAGAGCATTGAAACTAAATTAAGTTAAACTAGGAAATTAATTAATTTATTTTTTGGGTACAAAACTAGGAAATTAATTTAATGCAGATCGGAAATGTATCATTAAAAACTTTTTGGCCAAAATTTATTGGTAGACATTCGGGGGCAATCAATGCAATTATTAAAGTTCTTTATCATGAATGAAAATTTTCTGTAGTTGTTTTTGTGTGTGCGTGTGTATATTCAACCATTTGCAAAAATATATACATAATACATGTATGAAACATGCAAATGCATGTGATTTCAAATTCAAATTTTAGAAACTCACGAGAAATTGTTTACTGAATTAATAGTGCAAAATCAACACATGGATAAGTCCTACTTCACCCCCAAATTTTTAAGTGCAAGGTGGTATGTAATGATTTAAAGGTAGTTATAGTAAATAGTATTAGATAAAGCACATATGTAAAGCAACCTTTAGCTGATACTGTACTTGTAATTACACCTAAATTCTATTCATTCTTAAATTGTTACAAAATTAACTTAAGTGGGAAACAATGATAAAGGATATAAGTGTTAGAGATGTAATGTTAAAAACCATTCCTGCGCTTTCACCTATTGGTTCATGAAATTGTATTAGAGCCTATCCTTGCCGCCCCAATTCTTCTTAAAAAGAGGTGAATTTTAGCACAAGATAAGCGGGCTTCTACATTGTCCACACTCCAAGTCCAAAAAGCTCATGCGTAAGGTATAAGGGGCACATGTGAAATTTAATGTCAAAAATCATTCATGTCCTTTCACCCAAAAGCTTAAGCTTGTGGGAGAGTTAGATCATGACAGAAGTAAAAACAAGTCATCATACTAGAATCCTGACAATACACCCATGCATACAAAACAAAAAATAGGTAGCAACTAAGGGTATAAACATCTATTTTCCTCAAAAAATGAAAGAAACTATGGCATTATGTAATCATATACACAATATCATAAGTATTAATAACCTGTTGCTCTAATTGCCTAGTTCTCTCCTCAAGTCTTCGTATTGTAGCCTGCTGATTCTTTAAGTGAGTTGCCTCTGTCCTGAATTCCTCAAGCTCAACTTTCATTTTTCGGTTCTCAGATTCAAGTTCAGATAACTTGAGATCTTGTTCCTGTACAAAGAAAATATATCAGAACATGAACAAGAACATTCAGATATGTGCATACCTTTCATATACGCACAATACATGCGTGCCAATGCACACAAGTTTCGTACATACAACTTAGCAAGTAGGAAAAATGGAAATTCATAGAAACACAATAAATTAATGGTGGAGGCCTAAATTGGCATAGTTAAATATACATATTGAGAAGGCAGCAAGGTTGCCAATCTCTCTGTAAGTTTAGAGATGAAAGCACCCTTAAAACAATTATGGGAATAACACTGAAGGGATACAACACAATCTTGTCCCAAAGCAGCTTTGATGGCAGGGAAGCAACCTTAAAGATACATGCATTCTGAGGCAGGACACACCCAGTTCTCATTGATAAAAGGTGCATCATTACATCAATAGATTTAGATCTAGAACCATGCATACATAACCATCTCATGCATGTATATGTAGTACATTAAATAATATTACATAGTTCCATCATATACGTACAAAAAATTGAAAATAAAAAGCATGGGGCACGTAAGTGAAATGCTAGAACTCACAGCAATCGAAGCAAGAGCTGGATAAGGATCTGGAGCTTCATAAAGCTTTTGATAGATGTTGAGAAAAGAATTTTCTCCAAATTTCGCTCTCTTAGTTAGATTATCAACCTCTTCTTGGTAGCCCTTAAGCAAGGTATTAAACAAACTTAACTTTTCCTCCTGCGAAGCTTTCTTGAAGTCTGTAAGCAGCATAATTTGCGATTTCTCAGACACATTCATTCAGTACCCCAAACAACAAATAAGAAAAATAAAATAAAACTGAATATCACTGAAAGAGTATGGAAAAAGAAGGGCACAGATATGCTACTCCCGTGGTTCCAACTTTAGCAACAATGTACCCTGATGGGTATGGTGCCTAAGGTGACTTGTTATGCATTTATTGAATGTTGAATTCATAATAAATATTTAAAATTATATAAAAATATAACCAGCAATCAATCAAATGCTTGATAATTAACATAGTAATGCCAAACCTTTTTATGTGTATATTTCTTGAATATTTTGGAAACAGTAAAACCAAAGCACTAAGCATATATACCTCTAGTGCTCTCTGCAAGCTTGCGCCTATTTTTCTGACTGTTTTCCTGGTTTTCTGCAATACGAAGCCCTTGTTCATCCAATATGGACTTCTCCTTCTCCAATTCAAAATCTGAAAAAAAAAAAGTTATATAATCATCACAATTGCACCAATAATCTCTCCAATTCAGCTTTTTGGCTCAAAAACAGAGTTTCATTGTGCAGCACTAATTCAAAGTGGCAAAACATGCAAGTGAAGTTTCGTGTGTTGCGCAGAGAGATAAAGCGCGATACCTTTCCAGAAGGTGCAGACGACGGAGATCGGAGAAGAGGAGGGAGTGTTGGATTTGTCCCTCACGGGTCCGGGTCCGGATCCGGATCCACCTTGCGGAGCCTCCATTTCTGCAGTTTCTGAATTGGTTGAAGAAATTTTCTTCTCTTCTCTCTCTCTCTCTCTTTCAGAGTCTCGGGTTTATCATTCACTAAACAGAAAACTTTTTGCGCGGTAATGTGCGATCAGAAAAAATGGATCTGAACGTTTACGACGAAAAATGAACAAATAGCTTAGCTGAGTTTATATCATAATCATGATCATATTCAATAATCATAATCCATGAGTATTTTACAGGTGCGGGTTTTGAAGGGGACAGATTCGTCTTAGAAATCTTTGGGCCGACGTGATCTTTGGGCATTAGGCCTTCATTAGTTGGGCCTATGGTGTATTGTGCTGTAACCCAGTTCTAAAAAGTTGGGCCGACATGAGCTTTGGGGTTTAGGCCTTTATTTGTTAGGCTCATTGTGTATTTTAATCATTTTAGTTAAATAATGACAATATTAATATAGGGAAATAGGTGTATTATGTTGTAGGAAATTGGTTGTGTCATGTTATGGACACAACCAATGCAGATCCTACCACTTTTAAAATAAAAAGAAAAGAAAAGAAAGTGGTGGGGTCCACATTAGTTGTCTTTATAGCATGACACAACTAATTTCCTACAACATGATACATCTATTTTCCATTAATATATAAGTTATGATAAATGAAATGAAATGTAATATTTATGGGAAAAACATTAATCATTTTAAAAGATATAACTTTGTGTCACTTTAAGTAAAGGACCTTATTTTGGTGCACAACGTTGTGCCTAAGCTTGTAGTTAGGATATCAGTTTAGAGCTCCTATTGAGTGATTTAATGTGGAACTGAGTGTAATCCCTTGAAAAAAATGTTTGTCGCACATATTGAATATCATTTCTATCATGAAACAACTATTTCAAAAGGTTAAGTCATTAGGTAAAAATACAGGAAATGGTTTTTATATCTAATATGTCCCATCAACAAGAGTTCTTCATATCTAATACGTCCCATCAACAACAAGAGTTCTTCGGACTTAAGCATCAACAATGTACACGTCCGCTCTACCTTGTGCTGAAATTGGTTTGGACGAACAGGCATCAAGGTAGCAACTGCAATGAAGGCAGACAGGGATTTTTTTTCCCACAAAAATGGAGTCTCCTAGATCGAGAACTCTAATATCTAGATGAAATATAAAATACTGAATATTATTACTTTTTATTATTCATGTATAGAGGGTTACAATATATAAACTAATGTGAGTAATTGCTTTCCTTATATAGAAGTGATTCTAAGGAAACAAATAAAAAAACTGAGTTTATCCTATAAAATGGTATAAAAATAAAAAATATTACGCTTAATCATGACCATTGATCTTCTTGTATCTAATGACTCACATTATTAAAAAATTAAAGCCTTTAGATCTAAGATCTAAGTGAAAATTGAAAATGTAACTTACACACTAGTATAAAATTATGATGGTCACTTTGTAGTATTTGAAAATTCAAAGTATCTAATACAAATAAACTATGTAGTCGCAAAATGGAATTGCATAATTATGGGTCATGAACTGTAACATTTAGTGGAGAAAGACGAAGCGGGACGAGCCATAAAAAAAAACACATTTCTATTTTGCTCTATTTCAAGATGCACATATTTTTAAACTACTGAATTGTACAGCTGTATTATTTGATTTTGAAAGATAAAAATGAGGATTTAGCCACTCAACTTGATACTCTTGTATAACTAGCATATATAATTTATTGCTCTCATCTCGCCGCACATCAGAAAATTTGCAGCAACACTTACTTTTACCAAAATCTGGTTCTGTATCTTGGATTTTTTTTTTTTTTTTTTTTTAATTTGAGGATCCAGCTCCGTATCTTATGTAAATATATTTGCTGCAAGTTTTTCACCAGCAGTAACAGTAGAAATGAAGAACCCATAATTTATTCATAAAAACATGCTACATATAATTTGGGGTAATACATTGGTAATGTTTCAGGAAAACACAAAAATTTTCTGCAAAGACAACAATTGACGTGGGGCCCATTAATATTTGTTTCTCTCTCCTTATAGTTGTTTCTCTCTCCCAATTGTTGTCCCTACAGTAAAATATTTTGATTCATGCAATATTACAGATGTATTTCCCTGTAATTTAATCCCTTTTTCAATTCTTACAATGAAACAGTCCTTTGAAAAATACTTTACTGCATTCATTATGGCAGAATTCATTTCCCTTGTTACTTGTAGACTAAATTCAGCACTAGTAATTAGAAAGTGTTTGGAGTGATTTGGAACTAGCCCATATGCAGCAATTGTCACATTAAACTGAGTATTCAAAATTCGGCTGTTTTGTTACAACTTGGTATGGTCTGTGCCCTCTCATTGCCACAAGCACAGTATTGTTTGGGAAACTGAACTACTGAGTTCCTAGACCTCCAAGGATGTAACAAGAAAAAGTTACTCCCATCAATTCAGCAATTGAAAAAGACTTCAATAACTGTGTCAAGTAATTTCATCGTATATTGCTTTGCGGGATTAACAAGATTGGACATCACATTCAAGCATTCCTAACATAATTGGTAAATCTCAATCGCATCTACTATATGATAGAAAACTAATGCAATACCCCATCCTATAACACTACATTGAGATCTATAACACTACGCAGTCTACGTTTAGATCAAATATAGTAAAGTAACAAACAATTTTTTTTTTTACTAAAAAAGAAAAGAAAAGAAAAATACAACAAGTGACAGGAGTAGCTAACCAGTGCTTTTCAATATTCTAGCATGTGCTAGTTAACATTCAATTCCAAATCAATAATGGGAAAAACTTCGTTCAAAATTTAAAACACCACCTTTTCAAATGAACAATGGGAATTTGTTTTTTTTTTTCCTTCGAATTATGCAGTTTAAGAGAATCAATGGATACAATTCATAAAACAATCTCCCCTATCTCAACCACCCCATCATGTCATCAACGAACTTTAGGCTTTCTTGTCTGGCCTTGAACTTTAAATGCCGCACAAATATTCTTCCAGCAACGGATGGAGATGAGCGAGGGTATCACAATCCAGGAGAAATTTGCACCAATATAGTATGCATAATAGTAAAACGTGTTTGTAGAAAAATTATCACCTTGCAAGATTGCTGTTATATAATATACAGCCGTTCCATATAGCTGACCCAAAGAAATAGCAAACTGAAGTATGTAGCTATATGGCTTCCCAGTAGCTATTGCATATCTGTCATACGCATTAGCAAAACAAACAGTGAGGTTAAAAAAAATGAAAAATAAGGTAAAATTTTTTACTAGTTGTAACACCATATCATAGCATTAGTTATCTTGGTCATGTCTTTGTTCTTTATTTAAAACTTACACTGCTAGAAGGCTAGCTGGACCCTCTAAAACTGCTGTTAGTCCTTCAACAGTAACTACCCCTGCATCTCTTCCTACATACCTTGAATCCCCTTTGCTATATTCCTTCCCTATTATTTGTTCAAAAAAACAACAACTTTCATCAACTGAAAAACTGCAAATTCCTCAAAAGGTAATCCAAATTCTAACAATGCTATATCTGTGACTGAGAGCAATGTCATAGAACAATTAAATGACTTACAAACTTCAGCCAGGTAGAAACCAGTCTTATCCTTGAAAAACTCCGGTGAGAAAACAAAATAACCCTCAAGAATCATATGTGTGAGGCCTGTGAAGGCCCACCAGCACATTAGCACTCTATCAACTTTTGTTTTCTTAGGTAGGCGTCCTGGAAAATAAATACACAGTCATTAAAAGAAAAATTATAAAACCTAAAATCATTTCCACCTATCATATGATAGAGATATGAATATGAATGAAAATGGAAAGCCATATCAGTCAGTCTAAATCTTGAACTTGCAAGAAATGATATTGTGAGAGTTCCAGACTGGTGAAGAGCTTAATTGAAAAATAAATATGGGAAAAATGTATTCTAAAAGACAAAGCAACTGATAGAAGATATAAGAATAAGCTGATACAGTGTACACCAACTGAAATGATTTCTTTAGTGCACAAACTACAAATTTGGCTTCCAGAATTTAGTTTGGGATTCTTGTTAGAAGCAACCATCTTCATTTTAAGATTAATCGCATATTGTCAAGAAGAAGAAAGTATAATATTATTATGGTTACTAAGTAGCACATCAATAGGTTCAGAGAATATGTGGCAATCATACTTGGATTGAACATGATCAGGCCATAGTGTTGAATAAAAAATCACATGGAGAACAATGTTAATCACAGAGCCACTCAAAATTTTTGCCATATTGTATATTCTTAATTAGCAAAAAGGGAGGAACACATATCATATCATATCATCCCCTCAACAAGATATGCAAATGGACACACACACACACACACACAAAAGGTGGATGTAAAGTTTTACAAATGCAGATCAAGATTAATCGGCTACTTAAAAAAAGAAAAAAAGAAAAAGTGGATCTATGTTCTGTTTTGCTGTCTTCATTATATCAAGCTTTAGCGATTTTGACTTTTAACTGAGGGAATGATTTGAAACTACACATTGGTTGCATAAAAAAAAGCGTCTTTTTCTCATAAATGAACTAATTACGCTGATGGGTCCACGATTCAAATGCAGTTGAAAACGATTTTGATTGAAATCAGTCAATCAGTGTAACTACTCTGAAGTGCGGAGTTTTCGTTTGACCTTCAAAATTCGTTAGTTTATATCATTTTAATGAAAAGAAAAACGACCCAAATGTGGAGAAATCAAAACGATGGAATGGGGGGGGAATGGAGATGAGTGTTGGTACCTGAGAAGATCCAGATGAGAGAAGCGACGAGGAGAGAGAAGAAGGCAAAGACAGAGAGGATGTTAGACTGAGAGAGAAGACAAGGAACGTAGCCGGGTAGATGCAAGTCTCGTGGCACATAGGGATGATCATGTGAGACGTGAGATCCCTCCATCTTCGCTCTTGTTCGCTTGGAACGAGGTAGTGTTGTTGAGAGTCAACTATTGAGTTAGACACTGAAAGGAAAAAAGAGTTTGGGTTGGGGGTTAATGTTTTTCGTATCTCTCTCCTACTTGTGTGTTGGTGATTACAGCAGGGAGTGCATCTTCTCGTGTACGAAAATTATCATTTATCATGTACCAAAAAAAAAAAAAAAAAAATTATCATTTATTTGATCGTCACCATCCATTAATAATGAGATAAAAAAAAATATATAATTTTTACATGAATGATAAAATCAAATAATATAATCATTCTTTTACATTAAAAAATTTCACTCCCAATCTTCCATAATTATATCACGTGACCTAACATTCTGTCTTATCACCTAAAAATTAGATCGTTTTGGTTTCAAAACTTCCATTTGCATTTCTTAAAGTTTTCGTTTTTTCAGCTCAATTATCTTATCGAGTTATTAAAATTACCTATTTTAATATTTTTACTTTTAATGAAATATCAATACATAAATAGATTATAATAAATAAATAAAACGGAAACTTAGAATGCAAAACAACGTAATTTTCAAGTGACAAAATAGAATATTAGGTCTTGTGACATAACAAACAATAAATTCATATTATTTTTACAATTGTTTTATGTACAACAACGATAGGTGTATGATTATGATTCCTTCCATTTAATGTTTTCATCCTTTGTATGGTCATGATTTTCTGCATTTAATGTTTTCAAGTATATATATTACAAGTATTTGATTGCTGCACATACAGCAGCTGCAGAAATATAAACCAGAAGTTACACACATATATATATATATAAGACAAGATCAATTTAGACCGTTATAAAAATAATAAATCTTTTACAATCAATCTCAACCGTTGATTTTCAACAATAAAATTATTGTGTACCTTATTACTTTTGATCATGATCATAATTTATCAGTTAGTCAAAACTTTATATTTGATCCCTTAGGAAGAGTTACAGTATTTATTTGCTTTGTGGACAAGACTTGCTTTTTGCTATTCACTCCATCATTTATATACTTATCATGAAGTAATGACATACTGTATATGCTACTTATTAACAACTGCAACATCAGGGACTAGCAAGACGATTAAAGAAAGCAAGGAAGGCATTTGACCAAGTCTTGGAGTAGATTATCAAAGACCACAAGCATCCTTGTTATAAGGAACAGAAAGACTCACTATAAGAACTTTGTGGACATATTGCTAACACTTATGCATCAACCAGTGGATCCTCACGACGAAGAGAATCATGTAATTGATAGAACTAATATCAAGGCTATCATAATGAGTATGATTGTGGCAGCATTTGACACATCTACTACTGCGGTTGAGTGGGGTATGTCAGAACTCTTGAGGCATCCAAAGGTGATGAAGAGACTTCAGGATGAGCTAGCAAATGTAGTTGGGATAAATAGAAAGGTGGATGAGGCTGATTTAGATAAGTTGCCTTACCTGAATATGGCGGTGAAGGAGACCTTAAGATTACACCCGGTTGCACCTTTGTTAGTGCCTCGTGAGTCTAGAGAAGATGTTACAATTGATGGTTATTACATAAAGAAAAGAGTAAATATCTTTTTTGGTCTTCGCAAATTTTACGATGCCAGTTTTAGTCCCTAGCAAATAAAAAGGCTCATCGTGGTCTCTAAAAAATTTAAAATGGACCCATTTTAGTCTTTTTGAGGACTAATATGAGTCTTTTTTGAATTTGTGAGGGACCACAATTTCAAGTAAATAGGTTCATTTTAAATTTTTTAGGGACCATAATGGGCTTTTTTATTTGCTAAGGACTAAAGCGAGCATCATAAAATTTGCTGAAGACCAAAAATGATATTTACTCTAAAGAAAAAGTCAAGAATCTTAATAAATGCACGGGCAATATAAAAAGATCCTAAAGTTTGGTCAAATAATGCTGAGATGTTTTATTTGCAAATAGCAGCGTAGACATTAGGGGAAATGACTTTGTACTTAGACCATTTGGACTTGTACCATTTGGTTCTGGTCGTATAGGGTGCCCTGGAATTCATTTGGGTCTAACTATTGTAAAGATTGTTCTAGCTCTATTGGTGCATTGCTTCGATTGGGAACTTCCATTGGGTATGTTTCCTCATGACTTGGACATGACTGCGAGATTCGGCCTCACAATGCCAAGAAGTAAACACTTTCTAGCTATTTCCTATTTATCGGCTAGTTGGTGAAGTTAAAAAGAATCAAGTTAAAATAGATTGGGTTAATAGCTAAAATAAGGGTTATTTACCTTTTTATTGAAAAAAATAAGGATTAGTCTTTGCCTAGAGTTTCTTTGTAAAAACTGGATCAAACCCAATGCAGCAATTGAAGTTGTGTAAATTTTACACTACAAAAGTGTGCAAACATGAATGTTATACGAATCTCAATTATTTTTAATTATATTAAAAGAGTATGTACTACAGGTTATGAGAGTTTATGGCGGCCACGCTTCCACATCATTACAAAATTCTGTCAGATTCTTAATGATGCAGTTTGTCCAAACTTGCAAATTATTACAATGTCTTATGGTTCAAAATCAAATCATGAAAGCTATACCTATAATTAAATTATAAAGGAATCCATTGACTAACAATCTAATAGGTACATCAACATTGTTAACTAAAGTGGTTAACATCAACAGAGAAGTGTTAACAGAAACCTCACTTGAATTTATTTTATTTTATTTTTTGGTAGACAATTTGGAAGTATTCCGATAGAACCTCCTTCAACCACCTTGTTCTCGGAGTATGACCCCTACGACTAGCTCCTCATTGAAACAAAGGATGGATTGTGTAAAGAACCTTGGGATACACCACCCCTAAAGCTAGCTCAAAGGGTGGGAGTGCCCAAGATCTTATAAACTCCACATTAGTTGCACATACAACCAATGTGGGACTATATATCTCAACACGCCCCCTCACACGAGAGCCCATTGAACTTAAAGATTGGACAATGCAACAGGCTCAGCCTACCTGTGCTAAGAAACGCTACAAGAGAAAGTGGGGGGCGGCGAGGCTTTGATACCATGTAAAGAACCTTAGGATACACCACCCCAAAAGCTAGCTCAAAGGGTGGGAGTGCCCAAGACCTTATAAACTCCACATTAGTTGCACATACAACCAATGTAGGACTATATATCTCAACACATTGGATTAGACTACTATCAGAAATAATGAGTAATCCCCTTCGAGGGGGAGGGGATGTACCTCTGACCCCTAAAGAATTCTAATAATTTGCTTTAGCCAAAGTTTGAATTCCTGACCAAAACAAACTTTTAGGCACTCAATTGCCAACTGAACTACCCTTCAGGGTCAAATATTTCTCATTGAATATAGTTTTGTCGCATTGAATTCTTTTTTGTTCCCATTTAAGTGTCATCAATTTTGTTTTAGTGAGGGGAGGAAACAAGATTATTTTTCTTTGAAACTTTCCAAGTCATTATTCAATCCATAACTCTTCATTTTATTGCCAAGACCATGGTTAAGTCAAGATAGTAAATAAATACCCAAAAACCATTTCCATTTTCTATCAAGCAAGCTATCAGACATGTTACCTGAAACACTAGCTATCCCTGCAATCCTCCTTGTGACATTCATTTTTATTCTATCAGCTTCTCTATTTCATATTCCAAAACAACATCAACAAGATGGGAAACATCCACCAGGTCCCAAGTCCTTGCCAATTATTGGTAACCTCCACATGCTAGGGAATCTCCCACACCGTACCCTTCAAGCCCTTGCCAGAAAATATGGACCCATCATGTCCTTAAAGTTAGGACATGTTCCTACCATTGTGGTTTCATCCCCTGAAACTGCAGAGCTATTCCTCAAGACCCATGACACTGTTTTTGCTAGCAGGCCTAAAATTCAAGCCTCTGAATATATGTTTTATGGAGGAAAAGGATTAGGATTAGCTCAGTATGGTTCCTACTGGCGCAACATGAGGAAATTGTGTACCTTACAACTTCTAAGTGCATCAAAAGTTGAGATGTTTGCACCCTTGAGGAGTGAGGAGTTGGGACAATTTTTGAGGTCACTTGAGAAAGCTTCAGCCTCACGTGAGGTTGTGGATATCAGTGAGCTTGTTGGGGAGCTTATAGCAAATATCACTTATAAAATGGTGTTGGGTTGCAATAAGGATGATAGGTTTGATTTAAAAGGACTTATTGGTGAGGCAATGAAGTTGGCTGGAACTTTCAATTTGGCAGATTTTTTGCCTTGGCTTAGCATATTTGATCTTCAGGTATGAACTTATAATCCCTTGGCATGTTCTCTGAGTTATTACTTTTGACTATAATCATATAATCATGCTTGGTTTTGCTTATGATCTTTTAGCATAGTCTATATATATTTGATTGTGATTATTCAGTTGGAATTGGGTCATCCATTTGTTAAACTGTTGATCATTTTAGGATGGGTTGGGTTGGGTTGTTTTTTATATTGGGATGAGACTCATTCTTAGATGACTTACAGCACTGTTTTCAAATTTTGATAAGAGAAACAAAGTTTGTTGAAAGCAAATTAACTGCAATGTTATTTTCTACGAAAGTTTGTAGATGAAAACTACAAAAAATGTTTAATAATCAATCACACTAAGAGAAAGTAAAAAAATGAAAAGTGATAACAAAAAATCCTTTATTTTTATAAGTAACATATTCATATTGTTTAACATCTTTTGAAATATTAAACCAATAAAAAGGCAAAGAAAGCAGGCCACATCTTCAAAAGTGGCACATCTTGAGAGAAACAAGTAAAATTAGCACAAATTATGAATATTCTTTTAGCACTGGTAGATCATGATTGAAAAGTCCTTTCTTTTTTGCTCGATTCAACCATCTATGATTGCTTATCATGAAATATTATATACGCTACTCAATCATTCCCATCAGGGACTAGCAAGTCGAATGAAGAAAACAAGTAAAGTATTTGATCAAGTGGTGGAGCAGATCATCACAGATCATGAGCATCCATCAGATAATGAAAAGAAAGACCCTCACGATAAGGATTTTGTTGACATATTCTTATCACTAATGCACCAATCCATGGATAATCCACAGGATGAACAGAAACAAGTCATTGATAGAACTAATATCAAAGCAATTATATTGGACATGATTGGTGGAGCATTAGACTCATCTACTGCAGCAATTGAGTGGGCACTTTCAGAACTCTTAAGACATCCAAGGGTTATGAAGAGGCTTCAACATGAGCTAGAAAATGTAGTGGGGTTGAATAAACAAGTGGTGGAAACTGACTTAGAAAAGTTGCCTTATCTAAATATGGTGGTGAAGGAGACCTTAAGATTATACCCACCTGGACCTTTGCTAGCACCTCGTGAGTGTCTAAAAGATGTTGTTATTGATGGCTATTACATAAAGAAAAAGACAAGAATCATAATAAATGCATGGGCAATAGGGAGAGACCCTAAAGTATGGTCACATAATGCTGATGTGTTTTATCCAGAGAGATTTGTCAATAGCAATGTTGACCTTAGGGGACAAGACTTTCAACTTATACCCTTTGGTTCAGGTCGCAGAGGGTGTCCTGGGATTCTTTTGGGCCTAACTACTATTAGACTTGTTCTGGCTCAACTGGTGCATTGCTTCAGTTGGGAGCTTCCATTGGGCTTGCCATCAGATAACTTGGACATGACTGAGAGGTTTGGGCTCTCAATGCCAAGAAATGAGCACTTGTTAGCTGTGCCAACTTATCGGTTAGTTGGTAAAGTTAGAAGGGAATCAAATTAAAATGGGTTAATGTTCATTAAAATAAATGATTTGCATGTAACATCATAATTGTTTCATGATATGACCAAGAAATTGCTTTTTTATATCGTTTGTATTGTAATATACCTTAATGGCCGCATCTTATTTCCCAATCTCCATCTTAACAGAGATGACTTTGCATTTGGTACCGTTTAAACTCGCCTCAAAAGACCTCAGGTATGTAGAACCGGGGTCAACCCTTTCCTCCCTTGCCTTGCAGTAAAGTTTGATGTCGGTCAGCATGTAGAGTAGCATTCGAACTGTCGGTTTCCAAACCTCCCCCCTATAATTAAAATCTCCTGTAGAATTCGATCCTATTGCTGCTTAAGGGGCTTTTACGGTACGAAAAACCCAATATTAGAGTAGAGAGTTATACTAAGAAGTGTCCTTCTTAGAAAATAATATAAATCATCAAAAGGTCTTTATCCAATAATTTAAATTTTTGAGTTGAAATAGTTCTTTATATGGTATCTGAGCCTCAATAACCATGAGATCACTAGTTTGATTCTCACCACCACCCATTTTATAGTGAAATTAAATAAACACAAATTAAACCAAAAATTTAGCACATGCAATGTAATATTCAAATTCAAATTCAATATATATATATATATATAGGGGCAAGATCATCTTACTCCTTACACCTTACACCGGTGTAAGATGAATAAATTTTACACAAAATCTTAACCATTGATTTTCTGCATCTAACGGTTAAGATTTATTAGGTCTTGTTCATTAATTAATTTTTAATTTCCAATAAATCTCAACCGTTAGATGCACGAAAATCAACGGTTAAGATTTGGTGTAAGATTTATTATTCTTATACCGTGTAAATTGATCCTATCTCATATATATATATATATATATATATATATATATATATATATATATATAATGTGACGCCATTAGTGCCAACAATGGCGCCAGTAGCGCCAAAAGCACTGTAACATCCCCAACCTCGAGCCGGTTCAATTAACATGCATATGATACTTAACAGAAACAGCGGAAGACTTAACTTACGAAAATACGAACTAACTTTTTCTTTTTCTTTAATCCTTTTTCACATGACATATCACATTGCATACTTCTTCTAATTTAATTCTTATTTTACGGAGACGAAAATCGAACAGAGTAACCTCTGTAAATCGGACAACTGGGGATTTTCCAATCCCACTCTCAAGAGTTCCTGATAGACAGTTTAAACAATATATATTTCCAGAAGTACCAGTCATGCAAATATACTCAGATACCCATCTATGGGCGCATGCTGAACTTGGCTCCGTGCCACAAATCTAATAGCATGCAATCCAATACATAACATAACTGAATACTACATAGTCATATCATCATGCCTGAATACATAAATGTACATGTATCGAATATGAACACTATGCAACAATACATCTTTTTCAAAAATACGTCTAAAACAAATAGTAGCATCCGACCACCCAGAACTCCACATCCTCATACTAGTACCTCTAGCCACGGTTAGTGTCCTGGTCCCATGAGGCTCTTCAATTAACTGTGTTCCTGAAATCATATCCCCAAACGGGGTTAGAGACGAATCTCTAGTAAACTCCAGGTTTATGGAAAACCCTCCATACCCTGGGCTCACTTCCTGCATGACAGTCAGATACATAATATACAAAACATCATATAAGCAATTATCATAACTGAACAAAGCATATATACATATCTTATCAAAGACAAACGCAGTCATTCCCAATGGATGACCCCAAGCGAAAATAATCGCACGTAACAAATATCTTTTACAAAAATCATCACAATACTCATATCAGAACAAACGTGTTATATCAGAGACGTACGCAATCGTTCCCAAGGGATGACCCCAAGCGGAAATCAACGTACGTAACAAATATCATTTACAAAATCATCATACATATCTCATAAAACATGTCATATAATCAAATATCATAACTAAACAAAACATATACACATATCTTATCAGAAACGTACGCAGTTATTCCCAAGGGAGGACCCCAAGCGGAAATCAACGCACGTGTTCCCAAGGGAGGACCCCAAGCGGAACCAGAACATATCAGAGGCGTACGCAGTCATTCCGAAGGGAGGACCCCAAGCGGAAATCAACGCACGTGTTCCCGAGGGAGGACCCCAAAGCGGAACCAGAACATATCAGAGGCGTACGCAGTCATTCCCAAGGGAGGACCCCAAGCGGAAATCAACGCACGTGTTCCCGAGGGAGGACCCCAAAGCGGAACCAGAACCTATCAGAGGCGTACGCAGTCATTCCCAAGGGAGGACCCCAAGCGGAAATCAACGCACGTGTTCCCGAGGGAGGACCCCAAAGCGGAACCAGAACATATCAGAGGCGTACACCATCAGTCCCGAGGGAGGACCCCAAAGCGAACACCCGGGTACTATACAATCAATGACCAGATATTGTTACAGAAATCATATTACAGAAGTCATATCATAACAAAACATATCATATTAACACATATCAAAGTAAATACATCAAAACAAAACATATCATATTATCATATAGCTCTATATGAATGCATCTATATCATATATCTCATACATATCATACAACCTGACCACAGTCCGTACACTATGGCGGAACACAAAGTAGGAGCAAACCCCATAAACATAGAGCTTACCTCTTGGAGCTTTACAATTTGCTTACTTGAAGAACAAGCTATTTATCTTGCTCCACGAGAATCCAAACGTTCACAGTCTCTAGGCACACCTAGAGAAGGAATTCAACACAAAACTCAATAAAATGATATAATGCCATGTAAATATACAAGACACATACTTTATTGTTTATTTTCTTTTTACTTAATCATATTAAGTCATGAGTGGGTGGTTCTTTGTTCAACAAATCCCTACAAAATTCCACATGTTCACTTAGTCTTAGGATAGTCCCAAAAGGCCTTTAGAACACTCATTACTCCTCTTACCACCTAAAAGCCTATTTTTCCCAATTTAAGGCAGAATGCCCATTACAAAGGAGCTATAAGATTTCTCTTTGTCTAGTGCCTAAACCCAAGCTTAGCCACCTATATAAATTATTTTACACATATAAGTGTTCTTACTTTGCGAAACAATATCTCCGCACATATACTTCCTTTGAAAATGGCCAAAACTCATTTTAAGGCCATACAAAGGAGCTACCTTATTTTCTTTTTTATTTCACCAAAACGAAGGTCTATACACCTTAAAATATTATTCCACGCATAAAATTATGCTCGCTTTGTAAAACAGTAGCTCATAGCACATACTTCCTTTGAAAATGGCTAAGAGGCACATACAAGAAATCATGCCAACTTCATGATTCCAATGCTTTAGTCCATCAAATTCAAGCTTATCACACACCTTTAATCCAAGATTCATTAATTCATATATATACAGTACTGTTCCTCTCTACAGTACTATTCATGTATACGTCATTATTCACGTATACGACACTATTCAAAAATACGTTATCTTTAATTTTTTTCAAATACATTTTCACCGTTAAAATTCTCATCTAAACACTTTTCTCAACATGAGCTAAACTTGAATCAAGCTCTAACATGCTCAATCAAAACAAATTTTCAAAATGAAAACCTAAATTCAATCTTCATAAAAACATGAAAAGGAAGGGAATTTCTTACCACAAATGCACTCTAGAACAAAGGAGAGATGAGTTCCTAAGCTCCCATGGCCTCAAGCTCCATCAAAATCTATCTTTTCCATGAAATTCGAAATCTTTGGGGGAGAAGATCTCTCTCTACAGTGAACCCCACCCAGAAATATTGGTACCAATAGGTTCCTCTCGAAATTTCTCACAGGTTTGGCTTTGGAACGGAGTGATTTGGAGGTCTCTAGCTCAAGTTATGAATTTTGGAAGATTTAAAACCAAAATCTCCGTTCTTTCTTTCCTGTCGTCGGATGAAACGTAGAAGAAGGAGAATAGTGACTTAATTGAGTCAATTAATGAGTTTACTTTATCAGTGGGTATAAGCTTATCTATCTACACACCTCCATTCATTACCAAATTTTACCCTATGGACTAGAATATTTGTCTAGTCACTTTTTTATATTTACTTTCACTTTTTGGATAACTTTATTTACCCACATTTTTACTACTTTACTGTCATTTTAACTCTCTTTTTCACCAAATGTGACTTATTTCTTTTTCTTTATACTTATCCTTCAATATTAAATCCATAACTACTAGTGAGGGCTATTATAAGGATAGTCATTAAACTTTAAAGACAGGTTTGTTAACCGCTTACTAACTTAAATTAACTACTTAAAAGTATAGTCAACTATTCATAAACAAACTTTTGTTATACAAAAATTTGGGTAATTATTGAGCCTTCAAAAATCGTGTCCAATGCTCCAATAGAGAGGAAGTATTTCACGTGTTGTGTTGAAACTTTTATGCAATCTCATGTACTGATGGACATTCTTTTCAGTTTTCCATTGCATTGACTCAATTATTGGAATGCACTGTGACTGCAAAGGAGGATAAGTAGGGTATGTTGAAGTGAATTTGAGCTAAATGAACAAAGCATTCATTTGCCAGAATCTGTTTAGAACATAGCTGACTAATAATTGCCTTTAAGAAAGTCATGTGATTGTCGTTATTATTATAAGGAAAAAACTACTCTTATGTTACATGTGATAATTTTCTTTCCTACATACCTTTTGATAATTGTGTCATTTTTTTCTTTTCTTTTCTTTTTTATTTTTCAGATGGTGGAGCCCACAAATTTATCTCTATGACATGAGATAACTTATCTCCTTTAACATAAAATTAATAAAATCCTTATTATAAAGGGGTAAAAGGGGATAAAAACCACTAGCTTTCTATTTTGAGAAGAGGGGGCAGGTAATTGTTGCAGTTTATGCAACCATTCCTTAGCCTGAGTTAGCTATAAAAAACGTAATAGGTCTAATTAACGTGTTTAAATAAATATCATTTGATATAATCTCATCAATTTATTTGTTTTACCATTCTATCAGTTTGGTTCTAAATTCAAATATGATATAATAATCTAATACAACTTAAAATGATCTGGATTTGATCAGTTTTCCAAAAAATTTACGAAAATTTAACGATGATTAAAATAGAAAGAAAGAAAACCCAAATAAAATGTATAAAATGAAATTATGTACGGTAACATGATTTGAGTATTGCTTTCCCAGTTTCATGAATTAAAAATTTTGTTTAAGACAAATGTTATATAACTCTTATTTTTAGTTTGAACACTTACATTTAACTTCACAGTATTAAAACCATAACACACAAATCATCAAATGTGAAATTAGTGATAACTAGAACTATGTATTCATTAAATAAAAAAAACCTCACAAATATAAATAAATTTTTCCAAAAAAATACAACTAAAATAAAAAGTTGAACTCTCTTTGAACTACTTACCAGTCATCGATCGGCTATCACTAATTAGATGAAATTAATGAAGTTTCATTAAGACCTTGGTAAGCTAAAGACCTATCCCAAGCTTTCCAATCCACCTTTTTGTAACATTGGACAATATGTCTATTAACGTAATCAAAAACTCCTTTACGCAGTTTCAGATACAGAGCACAAAACTCTTTTATAGTTTATTGGAATGGGTTGTGTTCTAAAACCCGATAATGGGTCCCATGTCTAAGCCTAATCTTCAATGTCTCTTCTCAATTTCTCAATACATAGTTATCTATAGATATTTCACAAAATCAAAGAATATTTTCTAAAAGACATCATCATCTCACAATCACGTGGAACGTGTCATTTTCTCTTAATTCCAATACAATGATATGTAACCCTAATTGTATTTTTCATCTCGGTCTCATATTGATTTGACTGACAGAGTCTCTATAGGTATACACTCCTTATTGTATCAATGGGTTTCACCATCAATCATCGTACAAAAAGATTTATACCTAAACTGGGTCACATTAAGTTTAGAAATAATTTTAATCTACCTGAACTAGTCAAACATTATATTAGATTGATTTGAATCCAATAATACACATCAAACACATAATTAATAGGATAGGAGCTTATAATTAAGACTCTTAAAATTAAATATCATATTCTTATACAACCCTCTTATTTTATTCATTGTTATCCTATCATGCCCACCATATAATTAAGCTCTATAATACTATATCAGCTATAAAGGTTCTAATTAAAAACTAAATTAAGTTTATTGGGTCAAGTCAATTTTGATGAAATCAGAATTTAAAACTTGCCACATACCCAATTGAATCAAGAATTAAACTCAACCCAGTCTGTGAACCAATAAGCAGGTCTATCTATTATCACAACTTGTGATGTTGTCAAATGATGACAAGAAAATGCTACTAGTCTAAATTCAAAGCTCATTTGAATAAGCAAGAATAGTACAACATCTTTTTCCAATTCATGTTGGCATTTTATGTCAAGAACGTGCCTAGCATAAAAAAGGTAAGGGCATTATTAGTTCAAAGCAAGAGGCGATGACCAATAAATAGTATAACTTTTAAGCAGCACCACCCTTTTTTCTTTTGGCTTCTAAAGATAGTGGGTCCTCATGTTTTGGTTCTGATTAGGCAAAGTCATGTGAACCTACCCCGAGGCCTTCACCTGACATGTTTCTAAACATTCTTCACAGTTATCAAGAAATTTTAGTTAGTGCATGGCTTGACACCCTATATATTTAGTTTCTAAAGATAGCATAATTCAAACCCAAGTCTTCTCCAGCTCTACCATTAAAAGTTTTTTTTTTTAACATTTAATAACTTCAGAGTTCATATCTAGTTTTCTCAATCATGAAGAGTGGTAACAGATTTGTTGGTATAGCTCAAGCAAAACAGAAACTCCAGAGAACTCTTTCACAAAGAATCAAAATGGCTTCAGCCATTCCTGATGTTCCAAAAGGGCACTTGGCAGTGTATGTTGGAGAGAGCCATAAGAGGTTTGTAATTCCCATATCTTACCTGAGCCACCCTTTATTCAGAGATTTGTTGGACTGGGCTGAAGAAGAATTCGGATTCAATCACCCAATGGGAGGTCTCACAATTCCATGCACTGAAGATTACTTCATCAATTTAACTTCTTCTCTTAATTAATTGTTCAAATGATGGCGATTTGTCCCATCAAAATGACCTATTGGGACATTGGTTATTTTTGTTTTCCTAGTTGATAAAGATTAGATTACTACCAAGTTAGATAGGAGCAACAAAATCTGGTCTCTTCCATTTATTTTGTACCAGAGGTTCCCCTTAATCCAATAGCATCCAAAGTGATGTCTCCAAAAGTATATAATTTTTTTGCAATTGAATTCAAGCAAATTTATTTGTTTCGAAATGTAGTTCTTGAAAATTTCAAAGTAACCTTCCAATAACATTATCTACATATATTGTAGACTTAGCAATGAAATTAATTTAGTGATGAAAGCATAACATCCATTTCTCTGTATACTGTCTTATAATTGGTAATAAAGGCGATGCATGAGATTTTTATCTAATTAACTGTGTATAAAGGTTACTGGGAAGGCTCAGTCAACAGTTGAAGTTTAGGATAATATAGTTAATTCAAATTATGCTTATCTATTTAATTATGTTCTGTCATTCTGTTACTATAAAAATTGAGCTTGTCTTGTTATACATATCAGATTACAATTCCTCTTGCATAAATATCAATAATAGCATCAATATACATTAACAATACAATAAGCGAAATCAGTTTGTCATGTTGTAGAAATGATATTATTTCTTCCTGCAATAAGGATCTGGTTCCATATCCTAAGAATACAATTCCACATCCTGACTTTTTGTATTTTTAAGCGTGGACCCACACTTAATTTGTGTGTGCAAGAAAATATTTTTGTCATGTGATATAACAAAAAGAGAACTCATACAACAATTATTTTAAAATGTATCTTTAGATACTTATTTTTAGCATTACTTTATAATAGTAGAGAATGTTGCTAAAATTACCAATAGATTAATAATGAATATGTGCTTAAATCGAAAAAATAAAGTGCAATTAAACAAATAAATAATTTATTCGCCCTCTGCAAAAAAAAAAAAAAAACAGACGATGCCCAAAGCTTCCTCTTGCATGAGAGGCTTTAAAGCCCACAATCGATCAATACACTATTTGTGGCTTTCTGACCCATTTGTCTTTTTTCATAATAAAAATTATCATTAATTATCATTATGTCCGCGTTTCAAAGCATTTCACATTTCTACCTCTATATATTGGAGTATGGACCCAAATACTTGAGTATATATTGTTCCACGCAATATACTTCAATATCTGGGTCCATATCCGAGTACAATGTTCAAAAAAAAAATTATTAAAATCTTTCAATTCGTAGTTCTCGAAAAGCTATATGAAGTAAAAAAAAAATAATAATTGATTTGGATATCTGAGTCAAAAGTTATGGTCTTCCGAAGTTTTACTCTAAAATTTCCAAAATTTTGTAATGCTATAATAGGTTTTTTGATACCTATAAAGCTCATCCTCAGGTTACCCGAGTCAAGTCCAATATTATGAATATATGATTATAGAAACTTGTTTGATTCAAAAAAATATGATGTTAAATTTTTTTTCCACGAGATTTTAGGGTTAAATACGGACACCCGAGTGGTTAAATTTTTTCCCACTAGATTTTTTTGGATCAAACAAGTTTCTATAGTCATATATTGGACTTGACTCAAGTAATCTGAGGAAGAGTTTTGTGGGGATCAAAAAACCTATTGGCATTAAAAAAAATTGGGAATTTTAGAGTAAAACTTCGGAATGCCATAACTTTTGACTAGAGTGTCCAAAATCAAGTGCTTTTTTGTATTTCATATAACTTTTCGAGAGCTACGTGTTGAAAAATTCCTATAATTTTTTTTACATATACCTAGGTATGAATCCAGATACTCGAGTATATTGTGTGGAACAGCACATACTCAAGTATCTAGGTCCATATTCAGGCATGTTCAACAACAAAAAAACCCATAATGCTTGAGTATCTAGGTTTATACTTGGGTATATTGCGGCATATAGGTGAAATATTTTGATACGGAGACAAAGAGGTAATTTTTTAGATCATAAAGGTAATGATAAAAAACCCCACTATTTGCTGCAAGGGAATAAAGGATTTTATCCTTTTGCCATATCAAAATCTATAATTTAACTCAATTGCCACTATATAAATATTTTTTTTTTGAGTAACTTTTTTTTTATTCATTATAAACTCTCTTTTATGATAAGAGCTTTATGAAATTATGTTTAGTTAAATTTTTGCTTTTAAAAAAAAAATAGAAGTTAAACAAAACCTAGTAAAAAGTTACTTGTTTAAGATTGATTATGTTACTTTTTAATTTACATAACAGTTATATTGATTTTAGTTCAAACGTACCTATTGTACACTTTTAATTTTGTATTTCAACATTTACCTTTCATTTTTCTTATGCAGTAAGAGAAAAAAAAAATTGACATATTTTATGTGAGATCCATATTTATTAAAAAAATAAAATAAAATAACATTGCACAAAAATTAAAATGTTACTAATAGGAGAAAATAATTCTCTTATAATATAAGAAAATAGTTTCGCTTGTAAAAAAAATTAATATACGTTAGGCTTTGTACTGACCACAACTCATTGATAAGGGCAGGTTTGGTAGGAAGGAAAAAAAAAAAGTATTTATGTAAATTGACGCATTGCTCTGATGAACGGAAAAAGTTAATATAATTCCCGTACATGTTAACTTTTTCTGGTCCCACTCGCAGTTAAAAAAATATTTGAATCATTTTATTTTTACTTTTTTTTTGTTTTCTTTTTCTATCGTTTACATGTGAGAGAGACCATTTATACTTTTCATGAGCCTGATCATGCAAATATTTCTCCTGATGAACGGCTCAAATCCGAAAATATCTAAAGACTCACCATCCCCAATGACTACTACTCCTAAAGCCTAATTGTGGCTGTGAGGTGTATGTGGTGGTGAAGGTTATCAAGAATATCGCATATCTTTGTAAAGAGTTCAAAATTTTATATTCTAAAGAAATCAAATATAGAGTTTGGATTGGTATGGTCAAGCTCTATTGGCAGTCTGTCACATTTGGGAGCTCATCTTGCCTAAGCGGGAGTACAAACTCCCTTTTCCAATGTGTAAAATTTTGGAACATGAATGGAAATATTTACGAAGGTGAAGATAGTGTAAAAATATTATTTTACTATATTTAATAAATAATATACAAGTGTTCAATGCATCGAAAGCAATCAAAATATTTTCCACATTTGAATGATCCACTGCCAAAAGGCCCAAAACTCGTTTACATTATTTCACTCACGAGCCTGTTCTGACAAGTATACATTGCACCATGTAGATATTGTGCTTTGATTGCTTTCTGATGCTGATTCCCTTATCACCTTAATTCTGGAGAACAATTAATATATTTTTCGGTTTTTAATAATTTATTTGTTTTGGAGTATTAATCGATTTTATTACTTTTAAATTAAATGTTCTTTCTTGCATGTTTAGGACTGCATTTCAAAATGTTCTCTGTTGTATCTCCATGAAGTAATTAAAATATTAATGTCATATATTGATAGTATGGGAATAATCTTTCTTTAGTTATAATTTTTACATGTGTCAAATTAGTTTGCCATATGGTTTAGCAAAATTTCACTTTTTAAAACTTTGAGATGAAAAATTAGAGCTTATATGGTTTTTTTTTTATGCCTAGTGATTATTAGGGGGTGATAATTTGTAATTCAATATGATAAGCACAATATGGAATTTTTGTGATTTGGTCAATTATTTTCATGTAATGTTCGTGTTGACAAAAATTAACATGAAATAAAAAACTATTTCATGTCTTATTTCAATATACAAACTCAAAATTAACCTACAACTGTATGATTATATTCAGCCTCATATTTATTAGTTTAATATTATTCACATCATTTTTATTATAAATATATTTGGTCCGATCGTATCAATCCGCATAACAAACATATCATATTAATGTGAAAACACACACAAATATTCATGTACATGTCAAACTTCAATATGAGATAAAACTTTGTTGTAAAATGTTTTTCTTATAACTTATTAAATTTATGCAAATGTTATATATATGTATAAAATTTTCATACTGCATCCAACAAATAAATGTTAATGATTTTACTGGTAGTATCTAACTATAATAGTAGTGTATTTTCAGGTTTAGAAGACTGTTTTTGTAGCAAGGCTCAATTCCCACGTCCCAATTTCTCATTCTTGAACATGTAAGCAAACGAAGCTCCTCTTGAATATTTGTTACGTTGAGTAATATAATTTGGGCCAAGTGTTAGCTAATCGGGCATAGGGAATTGATTTTTTCATGTCTCATTTAACATGATGAAGTGATGTGAAATAATTTGAATTGTCTAAAAATAAACTAACAATTAATATTTTCTTACTCTATTTAGTATTATTAACAATAATCTCATTTAACACCCTCCTGCACATTCTCTCTAATCATTGTTGATTTATCCAATGACTAAGATATTCTCATCATGATAAATGAGACATGCAAAAATTCATTATTTTTTACATTCGTTGAGCATATTAAAAAGTGAGTCCATTTCTCATAGATGTTTTATATTCTTTTAACTTTAAAAGTATGAAATAAGTTTTAGACAACATAAAAAAATAATTTTTTTATTTCTTAATTGTATTAAGTTACAAAATAACTTTTTTTCTACATGTGATTAAATAATATTCATTCATATTTCTTCTATTTTGAAATAATTGTCGTTTGAAATTTTACTTAAAGATTAAAAAAATCATTGAATATCTTTAATTATAAAAAGCAACTAAATTTGATTAAGCTTTTTTTTACTCTATTTATGGTCTCTCGTTTTATTTAATAAAAACACCAAAATAATAATAATATTTTTTTTTAAGTGACCACATGGATAGGTGTTACTCGTTTTTGGCGTACGGCACTCTGTTTTGCACACACTATTACAGGGACTACTACAATGGAACTGAGCTGGCGGATACATTTTAAAGTTTGGAGTCCATGTGATGTGATGTGACTCTTTGATGAATTTTATAAACTAGGCCCCTCAATTTTATGGTATCCCACACACTGTTGATGCTATAAATACAAAACCACCAAAGTCTTAAGTCTTCAGTTTCAAATTCCATCTCTACGCAAACTTTATATTTCATCGCATTCAGGCTTCTGCTAGCTACTACACATACTTTCTATTTGCATTCATTTAACTTTCTTTCTCTACAGTTCAAGGCTAGATCGTATGATGGGTATACGTCTGCCGTTTATGATTCTTCACGCGAAACAGATATTTAAGTCAACGTCACACCCACAGGCACAGCATCTCCATAGTGGAAACCAGTCCAATGTTCCAAAGGGCCACATAGCAGTCTACGTTGGAGAGCTGCAAAAGAAGCGGTTTGTGGTTCCAATATCATACTTGAACCATCCTTCGTTTCTTAACTTGCTAAACCGAGCCGAAGAAGAGTTTGGCTTCAATCATCCCATGGGGGGTCTTACAATTCCTTGCGAAGAAGATGCCTTCATCAATCTTACCTCTCAACTCCGTGCGTGCCTTGTGAAAGATTAACATCCTACACATATCATGTCTATTAGACTATTATAAGTCTTTTCGACAAATATAACATGTTGTATTTCGTTGTATAAAATTTTGTTCGAACTATTTACTGTTTGGAGAAGCAAATTCTCAAATGTAAACTCACCGGTTCTCTGATCCCTAACGAATCTTTAGAATTATTTATTACGCTTCTCCAAATGTCTAGGTTCGTCTCTAACCTGTCTACTCAATGCAGCAGAGGTAAAAAGACTTACAATTTTTATTTTTCAGTCTTCTTTTCTGTTGGAAAGAGGGGAAACAAAACGGTAATCTTAATAGTTCAAGCATCTAAAGGACCAAATCATTCTCAAATAGAAAAACTTATAAATATCAAAATCATATGATACTTTTTGTCAATTTGCATATTTTTATTTTACACCTAGAGAGTTCTGGCAAAATACAAGTAGCAATAACAGATAAATCAAATATCTGCATCTCTATCATCATACTTTTATATAATCCGCGTTGCAAAAGGCCATGGAATAGCTGCAGTTAATCCACAAAAGAACGAGATCTGTGCCGTCTTATATTATATGGGGGTAAGACCTTGTTCATCAAAATGAACTTGCTGAGATGTCCTACACTTGTCCTGCTCTTAACATTCAATGGCCTCAGCACTCAAGAAGGCATTATCTGCGTTCTTGGGTCTTAATCGCTCTTCTATTATACCATTAGTATGAAGGAGCTTTCAACTTCTATTGAAAAAATATTGAAGATGGTTTTTGAAGGGGTGGTAGGAGCGCTAGTATTAGGCAAAAAGCAGAAGCTTGTCTTCCGCTGGTAATCAATACATGTACACTTAGTCCAAAGACAAATTGCCAGTTCGAATGCTTCGCTGCTGATGGCTAATACTTTTGCCCAGTCGTGATTGGGATGAGCTCCAGTCACCTGGATTTCCGCTGAATGGAGATTCAAGTTTCGGCTGAAACCATTTTTTCAGAACTATACCATTAATTCTAAGCTTCCCATACGATTCATTACCCTGATAAGGAATCTGAAGCCTCCTCAATAATGCTCCAACTGCTTGGCCAACTCTGAAGCCAAAACAATGCATATTTGTCATACAAAAAATTTCTTCAACAATATTATCTTACACACTTCATAAAAGAGAAAATATTATACCAAAATGAATAAGATCACACAAAAACACCTTTTGAAATTATATTCGACTATTTTTCATTTTTATTTTATAGCCATATTCGACTATTTTAGTCACGCAAATCAGACGTTTTTGACAATTTCTCCGTAAAATATAATGCAAATTGCAAAAAGATTAAGAACCTGCATGTAACTACATATTACCAGGGGCAACCAATCACCCACTTAATACTAAAGAAGAACATTTTAAAATATTAAAATTTGACTTGCCCATGCCATTTGACTACTGACTCTATTTGATCATGAAATATCTCAAAAGATATTCACTGTACGCACACAGTTTGTTACTAACATGTGGACGCATATTCAAATACTGTAAGTGAATCAGTAAATTAGTAAAATATAAACCTAGATAATAGCTGCATATAGATTTCTATATTTGATATAGCACCCTAAAAAATATACATCTTCACGCATTTAAACATATAGTGGGATCTTCAAGCTCGGCAATTTTGGTTCGTTGCTCATATTGTACCTTTGAACAAAATGTACTTTTGCAGATATGTGAGGCCACAATATGATGGGAAAAAAGTTGAAAATGGATGCATTTGTGGATTGGTTATTCTCACCTTCCTGCAAGTTTAATAATCTTTTCCCCCTTGGGAGAGGGAACTTTTGTTTTCTCTGTAGGCAATAAAACAACTATATTGGGTAATCTTGCACCTGCGAAGAAGATTTTCATGAGGAACCAAGAACGAAGAAGTAAGTTGGCTATAACGTAAACTATATCTTCCACTGCATGCCATCTGTTGGGTTAGTAAATTTGTAAAAGTATGCATCTGGAAACTATTAATTAATCAAGTTTATTTAAACAAACACTGTTAAAAAAAGAAAAGAAAATCTCAAAAAGTATGTTAAAAAGAAAACTAAGGTTGTTGACTTAAATCATCACCAATTGAAAAATAAAAAATGGATCCCAAGGGAGTGATCAGTCCTAAGAATTAAAGCGATCTGGAAAAATGGCATAAAAACTTAATCAATTCTACCAATCATGCCATTATAAAGGCTTTGTTTACAATATTTGTGGCAGAGTACCAAAAAAGAAGTCCCCATATTGCTGGCAAAATCATTAAATAGAATGAAAAAAAAAGCAGCAAAAAGAAAGGGAGGGTTGAGACTCACTAATCACTGTCTTATGTGTTATAATCATGTGCTGCAGCAGATAACGATACTCAAAAATAAAATAAACCATATTCTTGTTAATCATCTGTTGTCAATTGTTCCTCTCCGTACAACCGTTGGAAAGGAATCATTATTCTCATTAGAAAAGACAACATCAACTTACACTGAATGGCGGAGCCACATACATTTTGGGTGTGGCCTTGTCTAAATTAAAAAAATAAATTGTACTTATTATATATAATTATATAATTAATTATAATTTGGCTCGGACTACAATTTGTAATTTGGCCCTATCTAAAACTTAAAATATTTTTGGTAAGAGATTTGGGTAAGTTGTATTAGGTTATGTGTTTAATTTCTACTTGAATAAAAAATTATTATTAAAATTAAAAAATATTTGATAAAATTTTAATTCTTCTTGGTATTGCCTGCTCAGGTGCTATGTATTTAATATAATTCAAATGGGGAGGGTTATATTTATAAACTTTTTGTTTACAAACTACACTATGTACTCCCGGAAGTACACTAGTTACACTATATACTTCCGGGAGTATATAGTATAATTTGTAAAAATTTATAAAAAAAATTTGCAAACGGATCCTTCCCCAATTTAAATATATTATGATATGAACTAACTAAAATTAAGAAAAATACATACAAGTATAATTTTTTGGCCCGGGCTCAAATTTGAGCCCGGCTCCGCCACTGCTTACACTTGACTTCACTCATTTCCTTGTCCAAATAATCAAAACAGAATTAATATTTAAAAGAAAAGAAATGTATCATATAGAAAGTCTTCAACTTTTTTGAAGTTCTTAATTTTGAAAATTTAACTTAATTTTTTATCATAATCTCACATAAGAGTTATAAATAAAAAAGAAGAAGGATATGAGGAGATAATCTTTCTATGAAGAAAAACTTCATCATTGAAAAGTGCAACAAGCAAAATGGAGCACTGATATTAAAATAGATGACATTACCTGCTGCTAGGCGATGCTTGAGACCTTTCAAAACAGTTAAGAGGTATACCTGATAACATTTCCATGGATTTAGGGATACAGATATAACAATTACAGTACATAAATGTCTATCTTCAGCACATGTATTAGAAAGTTCAAATTTGCAAATGTCTCCGTTATATAAGACTTATGAAAGAGACATAAACAGTGGAAAAGCAGGAAAACAAGAGGCTATTGGATGCATTAGTCAACCTTCAGAGCTAATTTGCACATTAGTGTCATCATAGGAAGTATGTATAACTGTTAGGTGACTGAGAGAGGGGAGCCCACGGTAAAGGAAAACTATCATTAATGGGTTAAGTAGCAATCCATCACAACAAGTGGACTCAACACCACGTCCCAACCCAAAATCTTAAAATATTAGGTTTATGGGTCCTTCCATTTATATGGTACTCACTTAGTCCATTTTTGATCAATGTGGGACTTCACTACTCACACTTGAATTCTCAACAATAACTACATACATATATGCAAAAGAAATAACCATTGTACGAGTATTTAAGAATTCGACAAGCTCACCTCAGCAGTAAAAGTAGGCAATTCTTTAGCATCGATAACAATAGGACTCACTTTAAACGATACGGATGGAACAATTCCATGTGAAGCAGCTTCCTACACAATTATTACCGCATCATATGATGATCCAGGTTCCTTTAGAAACATTAAGATGCAAGATATTGAATAGACAGCTATATACTGACCTCAAGTATTGAGAAAGCGCGAGGATCATATTGACCAAATCCATCCATTAGTGAACAGAGGTTTGACAAACTTGAAGTGTCAACACTTACTCTCAGGTTCTCAACGAGTCTATTCTTAACAGATGCATCACAAGGGAGTTGCAGACATCCTAGAATTTGTGACAATATTTCACTTGTAGGCTTTTCACCAGCTCCAATTGTTTCACGATATACCATTAACGCCAGCGATGTCCTAAGAGTAGAAAGCAGTATGAAAAACTTTCACAAAGAAGACAAGACAATCTAGAAGAGAAGCCTGAGCAAATTAATGGGCGTAACAAATTGAGAAAGGAGTGATTTACAAAATTCCCACATGTTACTAAATAATTTCCTTCTTCCACAGTCTCAATTGGGCATAAATGAAAAAAAAATGGATCACTTCAAACAAAACGTTGTATTGACGCAACAGTTTCAAAATAAAAAATAGCATTTTGACATGCATATATTGAAAATTACACTCCCCTCTCTTGTGAGATGCTTAGGTTACACTGCCCTCCCTTTTGTTTTGAAAAATTACACTCCCATCCCTAGAGAGATTAATATGTTTTACACTTTAGTCTATTTTAATGTGAACAAGCCACATAAGGGCAGTTTTTCTCTCTTTGCTACTCTCAGCGTCATCAGTAGCTAGTTTTGAACCCATACTATTGACTCTAGGACTTTAGAAGATAAAATGATTTTGGGTGAAGTCTCAAAGCTGATAATAAGGGTGTACTGAACTTTATTTTATTTTCTAAAGTCCCAAAGTCAATAGTAGGTGTTTAAAATTCTGTGACACTAAAAATCACAAAGAGAGTAAAAATGCCCCTAGGAGGATCATTCGTAGTTGCTAATCACCACAAAGAAAGTTGTTTACATTCAGATGGACTAAATTGTAGCACATCTTCATCTCTCAAGGGAGGGGAGTGTAATACTTCAAAATAGAGGACAAGATAGTGTAAAATAAGGGTCTCTCAGGGAATGGAGAGTAGTTTGCCCAAAATAAAACTGTAAAAGAATGTCTATATATAAATAAACAGTTAGTATTGCCCCTTTACAAGTGATGACATGTAATCATGCCTTTAAAACAGTAAAATGATAGAACCAATACCATTTATTATCAACTTGTGGTCGTCCTGAGTGAAAAGATAAAACAGGTTCACCAACAAAGCAAGCCTTCTCAAATCTCCGCAAGCACATTCCTTTCAAAGGCATCAAAGTACTATCAGGATTTACAAACCCTGGAACTCTCTAGGCATAATATATGAATAGAGTTGGGCAACAAAATAACCAAAGTCCATGACTTTTGCTTGAAGTTCCCAGCGAATAAAGAACTCATTTCATAAATAAAAAGCTATGCAAATCATAAGTTGAGACTAATGCATTTTACTCTGTAATTTAGAGGAAGGAATAAGAGTACATCATGATTTCTGTTTTCTTTATATGAAATGGTATTTATAGGAACGCTTCCAACGCTATTACCACACAATTTACAAATAGGAAAAACACAAAATTGAGAAAGAATAAGGAAGAAAATGAAAGAAAAATGCAAAAGTGAAAAGTATAACTTCAATTTTCAATGTATTTGCAAATATCATGTAATGAGACAATAGTCTTTTAATAATAAAGCTCCTAATGAGGTGAATAAAAGTATAAGTAGAAGTGGGTTGGGAACCAGGTATTTTTCAAAGCAGTATGAAAGAAAAGATAGCAACACAAAGAATTAAAAACTAACAAAATCCAATGACTCACCAATTATGCATCGGCACATGATGAGATTAGGGGCAGCACCATCCTTTTTGGCTTGAGAAAGGAGCATTTGAGCTGCTTCCATATCATCCTTTCTACAAAGGCAGGCAAAATAGAAAACTGGTCAAGAAAGAACGTAAACTAAATCATTAAATCAACAACAAAATCCTCTTAGATCACATACTTCTCACTTGCCACTATAAGTATTGAGAATGTGATACTGTTAGGGGACAATCCTAATCCTTTCATTTCAGATAGAACCTCCAAAGCCTTCTGAAATTGGTCTCCATCACCTGTACAGAACTCTTACAATGTTTTGAACTCCAATTTTCCCATTAAACAGCTATACTTAATGGATGCAACTCCATGGATCAGAAGGAAAAAAAACTGCAGCAGCCATAAAATTGAAAACGAAGTTGGAAGTATACATATTCAGGTAAAACTAATGTAGAGGATTGTAACCCATGTCTTCAACAAGAAATGCTTTGGGAAAATAAACCATTAACCATTGTAAAATCATTTTAGCATTTGCCTTAATGTACACCTGTCCTTGTTCGATCTTAGTAGTTCAAAGATATGTTATGTACTGGCATATTATTTGCTACCTTTGGGTTATAGTTTCAGTTAGCAAGTTGTTGAGTTCAGTTACAAGTTTGTTAAGAGTAGGTTTCTGTTACGGGACACTTGCCACGTGAAGAGTATAAGAGTCTTACACCAGCGGTTTGGAGAGTTTATACGCGCAGGAAGGCTAAGCCACACAAGGAACAATAGGAGATGTAGTTAGTTAGACCGTTAGGGGGTTTAGATATAAATAGGAGAAGGCTTGTCTATTGGGGGAATCATCTGATATTTTTGTAAAAGGGGTGAAGGGGTCTTACCCACTGTGAAGGGAGAGTCCCTTCCTTGCAAGAGTTAATGTCTCTGTAACTCTGTTTTCTTTCATCAATAAAGATTTACCTTTGTCTTCCTCAATCTCATTTTCTCTTTTAAACACCACTCTCTTTTAAATACTATATCAGTTTCTGTAGTTAGAAGCTTTGTTACCTGTATAAAAAGTGTTCTATAAAGGAGTTCAGGCACATTAGCAATTTTATAAAATTTCTCTCTCTTCTCTCTGTTTCGCTCACACTTTCTTTCCATCTCTACGTTCTTATTCTCTCTCTACTTTTCTCATTTCTGAATTATGGTCACCATATTTGACAATTTAGTAGAGTTATTGCCTTGGTTAGAAGTATTGATGCACTTACAATTGGCCCATTGTACATTACCCAACAACCATTAATCCAAGAAGCTCGTAGTCAACTAGAATTGTTGCCCAATAAGTATGATTCAATTGTTGAAAGAGGCAATGATTTGAAATATAGCAAATTACAATCGAATCCAAGTCCCAATAAAGCAGCATATGTGATTGTGATTTGTTTGGGAAGAAAAGGAAAGCAACATATTTGGAGTTATTTGAGATTAAAGATTTGAGATGTATTTTGAATTATTTATTTGTAATTTTTTATTTATTTTTAGATGTTAATTACTATTATATTTATTTTATGAAGTTTTATTATTTTTAGAATTTTAAATTTTAAATTTTGAATTTTGAATCAATTTGTAATTAGTCTATAAAAGGGTGTTTATGACCCTTATTCTAGGAGTTGAATATTATTATTTTGTTAATTGAAATTGAGAACCGGAGGGTTACTCTTTTGTGAAATCTCAACTTTCTGTTTAGCCACTTTTCTATACACTTTCGGCATCAAGTATATTATCACGGGGTATTTTAGTACTTTGCAATCAGGTTTTGAATTTAGGTATTTAGAGTCTATGTCTAAGCTTTGGATTTGGAGTTTTATTAGTACTTTGTTGGGGGTTATTTATTTGTGTAAATAGTGGCTGGTTCCGTTGCCTTCACTTGTGGACTCTTGGTCCCCTAACTTTGACTAGTCCAAGGTCAAGCAAGAACTTATCAGTTATCCAAGAATGAATGAAGAGTAACTTTCCAAAGAAACATTAGCTTTAGCTGCCAAGCCATCTTATGCGTCTCTTTGGTCTTTCTTCTCTCCATCTTATCTTATCTGATTTCTCTCAATTAACTTTCTCTTCAGATGTGTTTTGTTGAGATATATAAAACCATTAATGTATTCTCACCCAAAAGCTTAAGCTTTTGAGTTGAATTGGTTCTTTACATGGTATCAGAGCCTCGGTGTACCGGGTTCGATCCTCACCGCCCCCAACTTTTTTTGTAGTGGAATTTCTTTCTTCGCACAGGTAGGTGGGCATGTGCATTGTCCACTGATACAGACCAACCAACAATCAACTCAAACAAGATGGAAATAAGGAAATTATATTGCAAACTCTGTCTATATCGTTCAGAACCAGTAACACCACAATTGATTCAAGAAATTAACAGCGGAAATCTCTGAGACAAATTACAGAGCAGCACAGCTATTCAACTCATTACACACCAAATTGAAGATTACAATAAAAGAAAATAACAGAAAAGTAAAGATAACATGGAGCAATTGGAGAGGCTCCATTCTCTCCCAAGTTCCCAATTCTATTCTTCTGATTCGATAAAACTTCTCTCACCCCCAGCCACGTTCTTTAATCCTCCCCCCTCTCGCGTTGTTGTGCTTCCCTATTCTGTTGTAACAGAATAGCTGAGTCAGCAGCTAGCTCAGATTGGGCTGGGGCCCACACTCTCCTGTGTTTGTCTCTTTTATACACAATGGGCTGAGGCATGGGTTGGGTTGTATCAATACTCCCCCCCAATTCAAGCACCTTGTCCTCAAGGTGGAAGTGAGGAAATTGCTTGTTGATGACATCAAAAGACTCCCATGTATTCTCAAAGTCTGGTAAGTGATACCATTTGAGAAGGACCTGCATGTCACCATTAGTGGCCAGCCTCCATTTAACCAACCTCTCAGGTTCAACCAGCAGTTCCCAATCTTCTGACAACACCGATGGTAATGGCTGTGCATTGGCCACCGGAGTTGCAGCTTTCTTGAGCAGTGAGGCGTGGAAAACTGGGTGAACCTGACAACCCCTGGGTAACTGAAGTTTGTAGGCAGTTTCTCCAATTCTTTCCAAAACAGCATATGGACCATAGTATCTAGGACTGAGCTTCTCATTAACGCGTCTGGCTGTAGTCTTTAGCCTATAAGGCTGCAACCTTAGGTAAACTAAATCACCAGGAGCATATTGAACATCTCTTCTATGCTGATTGGCGTGGGTCTTCATGCGATCCTGTGCTTGAATTAGATTATTTTTCAAGTCCAGCAAGATATTGTCTCTGGCAGCCAAGGACTGAGAAAGAGCATCAACATTAGTTAGTGACTCCGTTCCTCGGATCAAGTGAGGAGGGTCCCTGCCATAGAGGGCCTTAAATGGGGTCATTCCGGTAGCATCCTTGTAAGAGGTGTTGTACCAAAACTCAGCCCAAGGAATCCACTTGGGCCACTGTTTGGGCTTGGGCCCACAGAAACACCTCAGATATACCTCCAAACTCCTATTGACGACCTCCGTTTGACCATTAGTTTGCGGGTGATAAGCTGTACTATAATGCAATTTAGTACCTGCACTTTTAAACAAATTCGTCCAAAAGGAACTCATAAAGACTCGGTCCCTATCAGAAACAATCGTTGTGGGGAACCCGTGGAGCCTTACCACTTCCTTTATGAACAACTCAGCAACTTCCCTTGTTGTGTATGGATGTTTTAGGGGTAAAAAATGCGCGTATTTAGTGAGGCGGTCAACCACCACCAAAATTGTGTCAAACCCCATTGCTTTCGGCAGGCCCCCAATAAAATCCATGGAAATGTCAGCCCACACTTCATCTGGGATAGGCAAAGGTTGCAGAAGACCAGCTGGGGTGAGGTTATGGGCTTTACTCTGTTGACAAGTCACGCAAGAAGCTACATATTCCTTGATACTCTTTTTCATCCCCTCCCAATAAACCAAACCAGCTAATCTTTTGTATGTTCGAAAGTACCCAGAATGTCCACCAAAGCTAGAATCGTGGAACTCATGAAGTAAAACAGAAATGAACTTGGAGTTTTTGGACAGTACTAACCTTTCATTGTAATACAACTTCCCCTCCCGTAACTTAAACCCCTTGTGAACATCCTTGCCAACTAGCAGATCCTGCATAATATTCCTCATCATGTCATCCCCCTGCAGCTCCAACTCGAACTCATCTAACGTAGGCAAGTGTAGGCGAGTAATACTCGACAATTGCATCTGCCTAGAAAGAGCATCAGCAACCTGATTCTCCTTCCCTGGGTAGTACTGTATTTCGAAATCGTATCCAAGTAGCTTGATGGCCCACTTTTGTTGCTCTTCATTTAGAATCTTCTGGTCAGTTAAGAACTTCAGACTCTTCTGATCTGACTTAATGACGAAGTGTCTCCCCATTAGGTAATGTCTCCATTTTTGCACTGCGAAGACTATGGCCATGAGTTCTTTTTCGTAGATGGACTTCCCTTGTGCTCTAGGGGAAAACCCTTGGCTCAGAAATGCAATGGGCCTATTATCTTGCATCAAGACAGCCCCAATCCCCCTTCCAGAGGCATCAGTTACTACAGTAAATGGCTTAGCAAAATCTGGTAAAGCCAAAACAGGCACAGTGCTCATTTTCTCCTTCAAGAGCTCAAAGGCCTTTTCTGCTTCATCTGTCCACTTGAAGGCATTTTTTTTAAGCAACTCGGTCAAAGGTTTAGCAACCTTCCCATAATCTTGTACAAACCTCCGGTAATACCCCGTTAGACCCAAGAATCCTCTCAACCCTTTTATATCTTTGGGTACTGGCCAGCCCTTCATAGCTTGAACCTTACTTGGGTCAGCCCTCACCCCCTCAGCTGTGATGACATGACCCAAATACTCCATCTGACCTTTGCCAAAGCTACATTTCTTCCTGTTGCACACCAAGGAATTAGACCGTAGAGACTCAAAGACCAACCGCAGGTGTTCCAAATGTTCCTCCCTTCCCTTACTGTACACCATAATATCATCAAAGAACACCAACGCGAACCGTCTCAAAAATGGCCTCAGGACTTCATTCATGAGGGACTGAAACGACGAAGGTGCGTTTGTCAGGCCAAAGGGCATCACCAGATATTCGTAATGCCCCTGGTGTGTTCTGAATGCTGTCTTCGGTATGTCCTCTTCGTGCATCCTTATCTGGTGAAAACCAGATTTCAAATCGAGCTTAGAAAATATTGTGGAACCCCCTAGCTCATCCACAACCGGTATAGGGAATTTATCAGGAACAATTAACTTGTTCAATGCCCTGTAGTCAACACAGACCCTCCAGCTACCATCCTTCTTCTTTACCAAGATCATTGGACTAGAATAAGGACTGGTACTGTGTCTAATCAGCCCATCCCCAAGTAACTCAGCCACCAGATTTTCAATCTCAGTCTTCTGGTAATGGGGATACCTATAGGGGCGAATATTTGGTACCTCACTTTCTGACTTCAAGTTGATCGCACGGTCCTGCTCTCGTCTTGGTGGAAGTCCTTTGGCTTTCTGAAAAATGTCCTCATATTCAGTTAGCAACTCTTCCAACTCCTCCCACTGAACTTCACTATCCCCCTCAATTTCCTTTTCTGATCTCAGGAAAAATCCCTGACCTTGATCTTGGAGGGCCTTCACAATCGACTTCAGAGAAACAACAGAATGAGACAAGGTTGGATCTCCTTTGATGACAACTTCCTGTTCTCCTCGCACGAATTTCAAGGTTAACTCCTTGAAGTTAGCCTTTATCTCCCCTAATTGAGTTAGCCAATCTAACCCGAGGACCACATCAGCACTTCCCAAATCGAATATATAGAGATCCTGAGTGACCAGCGTACCTTGAAGCTTGATACTTACTTCCTTACACACTCCTTGGCAGCACACCTTATGGCCATCCCCTACCTCCACGTTGTAAGTTGGTGTCTCTGTCACCCGTAGCCCTAACTGTTCAGCCACCCCTTTCCTTATGAAATTGCTCGATGCTCCACAATCTATCATCACAATAACCTTGGACTCTAGAATCTCCCCCCACGCTTTGAGCGTTTGGCTTGAAGTGAGCCCTAGTAGGCTCTGCATCGAGAGTTGCATAGCCGTTTCCTCTCTCCGTTCTTGGGGATCTTCTTCCGCCGTTTTTTCTCCATCACCAACGGGATCCTGTCCTTCGTTGTTGTCTTCGTCGTCAACGATCATGATCTGTAAGTGTTTGAAAAGGCATCTGTGATTCGGGTTCCAGCGTTCGTTGCATGTGAAACACAGCCCCTTCGCTTGGCGTTCCCTGACCTCCGCCGGAGAAAGTCGCCGGTTACTGCTCGCCTGACTTTCAGCAGCCTGTCCACCGTCGCTGTTGTGATTGACCTGGCCATGGTTCCCCTTCGTAGCCACCGTTCTTTGATCTTCGTTTGGTGCCCTAGTGGATTGGGACGCTGAGTAGTTTTGATTGGTTGAGTTGGGCTGGCCCATAACCCGACCCGAACTTGTGGGGTTTAATGAACCCGACCCGCTCCAGCTCTTGTTCGTTTGTGGATTGGCCCAATTTCGTTGGCCCTGCACTCCCCTATTGGACCCATACGATCCAGTTCGTCCTCCAGCAGCTATCCCTTCCTCCTTCCACGCATCATTCCTCTTCTCTATTTTCAGAGAAAACTTCATCATGTCTGTAAGGTTAATGGTGGGACTCATCATCAACTCCTCTCGTATGCTACTTCGAACGCCGTTGAGCCACGCCCCTTTCAACAGATCTTCGTCTTCAAATCGCAAGGCCCCAATCATCTTCTCAAACTCACGTCTGAACTCCACCACTGTGCCTACCTGCTTGAGTGTATAGAGTGCTCGATAGGGGTTATCCAGAGCTTCCGGCTGAAACCTACTCATCAACTCTCGTCGGAAAAATTCCCAATCGGCATTAGGATTGTTTATCTCCCACCACAAATACCATTGAAGCGCTTCATCTTCTAACGTTACCATTACAGCCGCCACCTTATCCTCCTCAGCTACGCCATTGATGACGAAATACCTTTCTACTTTGTTTATCCACCCATAAGCGTCCTCACCACAGAACAAGGAAATTTCAAGGCGCCTAGTCATGGGAGCGACTGGACTGAACCTCCTCCCAAACCCTCTGTTCAGATTATTCTCCTCGTGTGACGCACCTGGTCTCCTCTCTGCCATCTCATCCAGCCGTCGGGTGATTTCAGCAATGCCTCCCTCGCTGGCTTCCGTTCGTCTAAGCAGCTCCTCATTTTGAGCATCGTTCCTACGCATCCTCTCCTCCAGAACTTCCATACGGTTCTCCATGTTTCTCGTAACAACCATCCCACAGAGCTCCTAGATCGGAGCTCTGATACCAATTGATACAGACCAACCAACAATCAACTCAAACAAGATGGAAATAAGGAAATTATATTGCAAACTCTGTCTATATCGTTCAGAACCAGTAACACCACAATGGATTCAAGAAATTAACAGCGGAAATCTCTGAGACAAATTACAGAGCAGCACAGCTATTCAACTCATTACACACCAAATTGAAGATTACAATAAAAGGAAATAACAGAAAAGTAAAGATAACATGGAGCAATTGGAGAGGCTCCATTCTCTCCCAAGTTCCCAATTCTATTCTTCTGATTCGATAAAACTTCTCTCACCCCCAGCCACGTTCTTTAATCCTCCCCCCTCTCGCGTTGTTGTGCTTCCCTATTCTGTTGTAACAGAATAGCTGAGTCAGCAGCTAGCTCAGATTGGGCTGGGGCCCACACTCTCCTGTGTTTGTCTCTTTTATACACAATGGGCTGAGGCATGGGTTGGGTTGTATCATCCACCCTTCAAGCCCAGTGAGCTCTCGTGTGAGGGAGCATGTTGAGATATATAAAATCATTAATGTATCCTCACTCCACTCAACAACTTAAGCTTTTGGGTTGAATTGGTTCTTTACATGTTTACCAAACCAATTAACATTAACTGAAAGTTCCACAATTTACAAAACCCTACCATCTTCCTTCGAATTCGCAGTTACTTTTAGGAATTACTTTGCAAAGCCATTGAACAGCATCCTAAATCAATCAGTAAGTGCTGAAGCATAAACATCCTGAATCAATGCAAAATTAAATAAAGAAAAAAGTCAACTTACAAAGTGCAGTGAGCAAAGCATTAACTGTTGAAACTGTTTTCACCAATTTACGAGACTTAAGATAATCGTATAGCTCCAATGCTTTCTGCCAATTTCTTGCCTAAAACAAGCATTTGCCACTAGTTAGTAAAACATTTTTCAGAATGGTGAACTAAGTGCAGGCTGCAAAAGAATTGAAAAAACATAACTTAAATGGAAAAGAAACATAAACCATGATGTAAGTCTTAGGTCATACTTGTACTTTCATATTCTATATTAATTTATCTAAGTATTTATTTTAGGGTTCTCAGATGTAATAAGTTTAGATTCATTATTTTTGGTTTTTAGATTCAGGGTCATCAACTAGAACACAAAATCCTTAGATACTACAAATGAAAAGATAATATCATACATTCTTATCTAAAATCAATAGCAAGAATGCTAGAAAAACCTGATAATTAAAGTGAAAACCATAATAGTTGTAATACATCCCCAAGTAGAAAACTTAATAACAGCCATTTAACAATTAAATTTTCCTAAATTAATGACTAATTATTCAAAACATAAAATATCTTCTTATTATCTGTTTTTAAATACATAATTCAAATCCACTCTATTCAATCCATTTCAATTCCATTACCTTCCATACAGCCCATGATTTAACTATGAAAAATCCAATACCCAATTTTTTGGGTTGCATGACTAAAAAATTGCTATGGGTAAGACTAGACTCATTTTTGTCTTCATTTTCAAGCATGCCAATTATTTTCCCCTTTAAATCATATTACTTGACCTCACATACATTGCTACAAGCGCCCATCAATGAGCTATATGACATTATCCCAACACGTATTCCTCCTTTACGGGCTTCTTGTAGGACATCAAAGGCAGCATCCAGCTTTTTAGCATGTCCAGCAACGTCTATTAGTGCACTCAGAAACATCTGCATATTTAGTCAATAACTTCTGTAAGCAAACAATGGTAAAAAAGGACGGAACTTAAAATGCAAGAATCAATTCTAGAAACCACCATACAAACAGAAGAGGCATTTTTATGTTTTAAAATCCACAAAAACCACATATTTTAATAATTTAAATCACCAAGAAAATTATAAATAAAAAAAAAAAAAAACCAAAAAAAACCTCATCAGGGAGCACCCCTTTCCAGGTCATGTCATTGTATACACTAAGTGCAAAATCCCAATCTCCAGTTTGGCTGCAAGAATTAATGGCAATGGTATAAACTTCTGGAGATCCCTTTATGTTATACTGTTGTATCATCTTATACACCTCTCGTGCTCGTTCAACCTGTGGAAAACGCATCATTTTTAAGCATTAAACAGATTTCAAACAAAGCCTAATGAAAAGAGACAGGAAACACATAAGAACTACCAAAATTGATGTCGAGTTCTAAGGGGGGAATCGAGAAAGAAAGAAACCACACCTGACCAGCATTTGCGCATGCCTTCATCAGTGCACCAAAAGTTATGTGATCTGGGTCAATGGGCTGTGTTTCAACTGCCATTTCTGATAACACATCAAATGCACGATCCACAGCTCCTGCCTTGGCACATGCAGCTATAAGTGCATTGAATACAACACGGTCTGGCTTCACATTCTACTGCATACGAACATCACATCAGCATGCACAATTAAGAATTTCGGCAGCACCTCAACTAATACCATGGACAATATAATTCTCTAGAAAGACATGTTTCAATTATTGTACCTTGGACCTCATTATCCCATAAACACCAAATGCTTTAGCTACTTGCCCAGCTCTAGCACAACCATCAATAAGTGCCCCATAGGTAAGAACATTTGGTTCCACTCCAGAATTAACCATCTTGTGGAACACCTAAGCATACAAATTAACATTTTTACTAGATATGGAATATAGAGAAAAATATATTAAGCATAATAATATCATGCTATAGCGAATCAATTGACAAATCCAAGAAGAGAAATATTGTACTTCAAACATCAGATCAACTTTCCCACTCTTAGCACAAGTTGATATCAGAGTAGTATAAAGTTTGCAATCAGGTTCAAGTCGAGCCTCCTTAAGAAGCTGCAAAACTTGGAAAGCCCCTGAATACATAACACAAATATCATGAACTGAAAAGATGACAGAGAAAAAACATTCTGGAGGGTAACCCAGATCAACTTACCTTCTGAATCTTGGGAGCTTGTACAAACTGACATAAGCATATTAAATGTACTCAACGTTGGATTTGAAATAAGCCTAATGTAATCAAAAGCTTCTTTAACAGCCTTTTGCCTCTTGCAGATGTCAAAAAACTTGGCATGATATACCTATAACCGGTAAAAATGGCATGTATGAGAAACTCAAAATTGAAGAACAGAATATCAAGTCACAGCCAGAAAGATGCACGTACCTTATTCATATCTAATAAACCCTTCGTTTCCATATCTTTAAGCAATTCTACACATTCATGCAACCTAACAAATCAATGTACTTCAAAATAAGCTCTTCAAGCTTAAAAGTAACAGTGACAGTATGTCAGAACGGACATCATGATCATAATATAGTCAACAAATGAGAACAAGAGGAAGCGGAGCTTGACCACATTGTTTCAGTTAAAAAAAATTTGTGACATGTATAAAACTCCACAAGTTTATGTTCTTTACTGTTCATTGGGGGTAGATCAGGACAAAAGATTACCTCCCAGCTTTAAGAAAATTATTATATTTGCTTAGATGCTCTGAAGGATCATTTTTCTGACCATCATGCACCCTGATTTGGTCATTTCTCTGATCAACATGCACCCTGATTGAGTGGGCATTCTGAGACAAAACTTTGTTACTATTATAATCCACAGAATTGATTTCCCTGTCTCTTGAAGATCTGCTTCCTTGCCTCAAGCTTTTACTTACATGTTGTGTAGGGTAGCCTTCTTTATCACTGGAAATTTCAACCGCTCCTTCAACATACTCTGAATCAATAAACATGGTTTACCAAAAAGTTTCCTTTAAATTTTGGTTTGCACATCAAGATATTATATAAAGATTTGACCACCTATATTACCAATGAAATGAAATCATAGTGCATTTTCTTTTATGTAATTACCTGCACTTTGTAGAGGAATATCTGTAGATAATCCTGATCCTTTTAGTGTGATGTTTCTCATTGCTGAGGTCAATACTTTTCTATTCCTAAAAGAAGCACGAGTAGATAATGACTTTAAACTACCAAGTGGTGTCATGGATCCAGTTGCAGACTTGCTATCCTCATAAAACATGTACAGCTCTCCCCTAACTGATTCACCAAAAAGGACATCACTGCTGATGGCCCCAAGGTCAATTTTTTCTTTAGTATGTTCATTGATTGTTGGGAGTGCATTGTTTACACAATCAGAAGAAGCTTTAGGCTCAGATTTAACCATACCCAAAGGCAACTCGGGATCAGAGTCAACTTTATCTTGATTTTCTTCCACTTGTATAGCCATTTCCTCAGCAAAAGCAAGAGATTGTAACGAACTTGATTGGAATGCCACAGATAAAAAAGACTCGTCTAATACCTTGGAACTGTTATCATTAACATTAGAGTCAAGAACAGAAGAAGATGACTCTGAAGTCTTAGTCATGAAGGCCGCTTCATGCACCACTGAAGATTTCAAAAATGGAAGGTGGGTCTCTTTGTCCTCCAAAGCACAGTTGTCTTCTCCTTTGTAATCCTTTAACTTACCAATTTCATTCAGTGGGATATCCCTTTGAAATTCAGGAAAACCAAGAATGTGGCTATCAATGACCTGGTTCCCAACATTACTTCCTTGTGGTGATAATGCAAATTTTGCATGTCCCCGTGACTGTAGTGGTGAAAACGTTAGGAAGGAGCTAATTGTACATAAATATAATAGATGCAATCAATTCACAAATAACTTTAAACTTGGCCAAGGAGGGAACACTACGGATATTAGGCAGTGAAGTTCTCACAGCAATACCACCCTATCTATGACACTAAACGAATCTAAGCAGAAGAATTCCCCAATCAGATGACTAAATGATAACGTTGAGTGTATACATTTTAGTTTCTCTCTCACTGTGAAGAAAACTATAAAACTACTAATTGTCAAAATAGATGATTTAACGATATTATCTAAAGTAAAACTATTCACTGTGAATTTCAGAATTCCACATACTTTATCTCTTCGGTCTTAACTACAACTATTATCTAAAGTTGCAACTAATTTAACTTCATTAATGGAAGTAGTAGCCGTCAAAGTAGATGATTTAACGATATTATCTAAAGTAACCGTTCGCTGTGAGATTCAGAATTCCATTTACCGCACAAACTGTACGACGCAAAACGAACATTCAAACGACAAAACTTTGGAAGAGAACATCACACAGGTTAAGTTTGAATATATAGTTTAGTGACCTGGTTGAGAGTCTTCTTTCTCTTGTTGAGAGTGAAGTGGAGGAAAGAAACGGCAGATAAAGTAACTATGATGACGACGACGATGGCGGAGTGAGAATGGAAGGAGGCCTTGAAGACGAAGCTCGGGGAATGGAGGCGAAGAAGCCCTAACTTGTTGCATTTGTTTCGAGAGCGAAGTGGTGGCGGAGGCCTGAGACTGTGAGCGCAACCGAGGAACTGTGTGCGGAGAGTGGAGAGAGAGAAGGAAGGAGAAGAAGAAGAAGAAGAAGAGGGAGAGCGTGAGGTTAATCTGAGAGCGTGATGGTGGTTCCAACACAGGTTAACTTCCATGGATGAAGAAGAAGAAGAAGAAGAAGAGAGAGAAAGAAGAGAGTGTGGATTAGCATTTAGCATTAGCAGGAAGGAGAGGAGGTTGTAGCTTGTGCTCTACAACTTCTTGCTCATCCTATTCCTTGCTGACGTGGCGCATTCTCGTTTTTCGGTTGGCCCTGGTTAGTTAAATACCAAGTAACCAAAACCACGGCGGGTTACACGGTTAAATCATTTATTTATGTTAAATAAATATAAATGGCTTTAATTGTTTATAAATTAATAAGTTATCTATATTCGCTGCTAAAATGATGTTATTTTAGGTTGAAAAATTAAAAAATTATAATAAAAAAGACTATTATAACTTTTAAATAAATTATAATTATAAAAATACTTTGATTTCTGTCTCAAAACAACGTCATTTTGAACTCGATGTAAATAAGTTATTTACATTAATTATAGAAATAACGAATCCAACATAAATATATAATAGGAAAAATTATTTTTATTTTTTACTGCACAAATTACATAAGAATGAGTAGTTTCTATTATAAAACAAAGAGATAGAAAATTAGTGAAAATCACTCATTTTTATGTGAGTGTTTCAAAAAAAAATTGCAACAAAATAAAAAATATTAAAAATTAGTATATAAAAGGATTGTTTAATAATGTTATAATTATTCATCCTAAAAAGACCCAAATACTTTGATGGAGTCCAAATACTGCAACCGGAGAATAGTGATCTCATATTGCATATATATCCTATGATGGAGTACATATTTATTAAAAAAAAAAAAATTATTGCACAAAAATCAAAAAATCACCGAGAGGATAATTTTGTTACTAGAAAAGCATTTATTATAGGTCATATTAGTGAAGCTCTTCAATCCAACATTTTTATTTATTTATTTGTAAGACACTTTTATTAAACTATGTATTGAAAATGTGAAAGCATAATTAAAGTCTTAAACTAAGGCCTAATACTAATACGTACATATCTCTTTGGTATTCTTTTAATTCTAAATTTAAATATTAAAAAGTTGTTAGGATACTTGTATTATTTATAAATTATTTAAAGAAAAATAGTAAATGGATATAATGTTTATCATATTGAGCTCATATCATTGTATACATTACTCATTAATAACCTAAATATTAAATTAAGAGTTAGCCTAACAATTAAGTAGCATATTAGGATGGTAACTTCGTTAATGTAGTAGCTGTAGTTAAGAATGAAGAGGGGTTAGTAAATAGAGGGTTTTTTTATCAAAGAAATGTGAATTTCAAAAATATTCACATGTATAGTTTGTTCACCCTATGTTTTATCGGACTAATACTCAAAGACGCATTTTATGTGACTATGAGTTTAGTCGCGCACCAGACACATACGTGTTTTTAACTGTGATAAGACTATGTTGTGGAATGCATGCCTGAATATGACACATCTTGATATTGTGCTTGTCAGAAACGCTCACAAGGTACAGATGTGTTCAGACACGCACCAGGTATTTACGTGTTCAGATTTGTAAAAAACGTGCACTTAATACAGACGTGTTCAGACACGTACATAGTACAGACATATTCAGATAGACGTGTTCAAATTTGTCAAAAAACGTGCACTTGATACAGACGTATTCAGACACGTACATAGTACAGATATACTTAGATTTGTCAGAAATACGCATATATCAGGTGCGCGACTAAACGTGTAACCACCTGAAACGTGTCTTTCTGCGTTAGTCCAATAAAAATTTTGGTAAAGAAACTAAATAAGTGAATTTTTTTGAAATTCGTATTCCTTACGTCAAAAACCCGTAAATAGAAAACGTTAATGCATATGTTATGGTTGTTTGACTCTGTGTGTGTGCGTAGACTTTATCCAATCCAATAGTCTTTCTTCTCCTCTGCTTCGGTTCTTTACCTCTTGCAGATAGAAGCCATGGATAGGCTTCTATCCTCTTCTTCACTTCCTTCTCTTAACACTAATCTCAAGCCCTTCACTTTTCTCCCTCGAACCAGTTCATTTTGCTCTTCAAAATTCAATTTTTTACCCTCAACCCGTTGCTCCTTCAGATGGGCCACCTCAATTTCTTGCAAGCATGAAAACCCATCTCCATTATCGCCTCCTACTCCCATTTTTGCCTCATCAATACCACCCAATAACTTACCATGTCTTTCGTCCTCTCAAGCCACCTATTCTTACAGCTCCTTACCCGTGTCCCACCCCATCAATCAGATCACTGGTGAGGATTTCAAAAAACCTAAGGTATGTGCTTTCTGTCATGATTGTTGAGACCTCGTATGCGTTTGGTGCTGTTTACATGGAATATCATGGTCATTTTGAAGTCGATGGTGTTCTATTTCATAAACAGTGTCTTCTGGAACATCCTTCTTGTGATTTGAATTAAAAGCATCTCCCTTTGTCACTGGTCTACAGGGAATCCGTTTAATTATTAGGATTAAGAAATTCTATGAACATGGTTTACCCCTGTTACTTTTTTTTAGCAAAATATTATATATATATGTTTGTGTGTGTCCGGAAAGGTTATATTTACAAATTTTTTTGTTTACAAACTATACTATGTCTCACCGGTAATATACTCTTGAGTAGAGTATTACTAATCAGACATAGCGTAGTTTTGTAAATTTGTAAAAAAAATATTTGTCAAATATAACCCTGTTCGTATATATATATATATATATATGTGGCAGTTCTGTTACTGTTTTGCTCTACAGCTCTGTTTTAATAATGCGGTTTGTTGTTGGCTTGTTGCTGGTCTTGAACCATAACCAAAATTAGCATTTTAATCATGTAGTTTTGCAGGTAAATCATGATCATTGACATACTTGTTAAGTCATGTGTAACTCAATTGATATGTGGATTTCTTAGAAGGTTATTCTGTTGAATTAGTTGAGTTTGAAGGTTACAAGGGTTATATAGACTCAATGTACGCAGTAGTTTTGTGTTAGATGTTTAAACATTACAGTATTTTTTTTATTTTATTTTTTCTCAGGCAATAACAGCTCGGAAATTTGTAATACTTGCTGCTCTTGTTATGATATTAATCCAACCAGCTTTTGCTCCAGCAGCTTTTGCAACCTTTCAAAATGCTGCCAAGACCACAGTTGGTGGAAAACTAATCAGCACTGAGCTCTTAAGTAGTGCTTGGACTGGTTTCATTGCTGGTTGTTTGCACACACTATCAGGGCCTGACCACCTTGCAGCTTTGGCTCCATTGTCCATTGGCCGTACCAAAATGGAGAGTGCTGCTGTGGGAGCCCTTTGGGGTTGTGGCCATGATGCTGGCCAGGTTATCTTTGGCTTAATATTTTTGCTCCTAAAAGATCGACTTCACATTGAAATTATTCGAACTTGGGGCACCAGGGTGGTGGGCATTACCCTGCTAATAATTGGTGCTATGGGAATTAGGGAAGCTTCAGAAGTGCCTACCCCATGTGTTGCTTTAGAAAATGGTGAATGTGATGTCAGTGTCTATGAATCACTTGATAATCCTACAGTAGGAAAGAAGAAGATTGGTTTTGCTACTTTTGCCACTGGAATAGTTCATGGACTGCAACCAGACGCATTGATGATGGTGTTGCCTGCCCTTGCTTTGCCTTCTCGCTTGGCTGGTGCTGCATTTCTCATCATGTTCTTACTTGGAACTGTAGTTGCAATGGGAAGCTATACGGTATTTATAGGATCTTGTAGCCAGGCACTTAAGGATAGAGTACCTAGAATAACTGAGAAACTTACTTGGGCTTCTTCTCTTGTCGCAATAGCCCTCGGATTTGCCATCCTCATTAGCCAGTTTTTTGGATTTAGCCTGTATTAATACACTTCAATGAGCCTGGAACCTTTTTGATGAACATTGTTTTGGTGTCAAGATGAAAGTAGGGACGTTAGAGATTAATTTGATTGTTTGGAGCAAGTTCATCATCCATGCAACATGTGATATTGATCGTTGTCTATTATTTGACTACCCTTGTGAATGTATAGAACTCTGGTATGTTCAATAATTCTGCAGCTGAGAACTATGTTTGTGTTATATTTGTAGATTTCAATTGATTTTACCAATATTCTGCTTAGCCTTATGTATTATGCCTTGAAATTGACATACAGAATTGTTGGGAACTAGGTTCCCTAACTTGGATCAGAAGCCTTCTCACATAAGTCAATCAACAAGATCTTGAATCTCGGATCTCGGCAATCTTAACTCGGCCTGAACTTCACCAGGTCGGACAGCGCAGCGAAAAAACAAAAAATACAAAGGGGAGAGAGAAAGAGAACACAAGCAGATTTTAACTTAGAAAAACTTTCTTCAATAAAAAAAAGTAATAATCCATGGGACCTAGTCCTTTTCAAACGTCCACAATAATAATAAGGGTACAAAGAATCAAGATTCACCAAAGTGATGGTTAATGCAACCTCTCCAACAATGGTGATAATCAAACTTCCCTAGAAGTATTTCATTCAAACTCTCTCTAGAGGTCTCTCAAATACAAAGCTTAAAGCTTTTCTCACAAATCTCTCAAAACAAAAAATTCTCTGACCTGCTTTCACCCACAACTAATGAATATATAGAGGAGAAGTGGAATCTAGGGTTTAGGATTTTTAAAAACTCTTCAATACGCTTGGGCTTAGCATTGAAGGAGCAAGCTCAACCAGTATATGATACTGAATTCATAGATGGGAGTGCTTCGTCAAGTGATATACGAGCGTTATATGAATAGGATGAAAAATTAATCATTACTTTTTGGAAGTTGTAACATTATTGCATCAAATCACTCTCTCACGGCTTTTCTTGTGAAGCTTGAGTTGGAGGCCATTATTTTCAGGTCTCCGATAACTGTACCTAATGAGCAGATTGTAGCTAGGAAGCACATACACATACGGGGACAAGGACGTGACACGAAAATCATAGTAAGTGATAAGTAACGCGAGTCCGGCAATTTGTAAGAAACTATAGATAATATAATGTTAATATAATAACATATAAAATTAATATAATATTAGCATAAAAATATAAATCTTAAATTAAAATAAGTAGACCAATATTTCAAAATTCCGTTACTTATCGAATTACTGTGAATGTGATATCTTACTTGTGTTAAAATTAAAAAAAAAAGTCATGTTTATTTTATGTCAGTATAAGTTATATTCTCTATCTTACTGATTTGCCTACTGCTTGAACTAAAATCTAATTAAACTCGTGTATCTAATATCGTTCTAGATACCTACGGCTAATACCATAACCATATTCTCCCCAATCAATCGCGCTACGTATGCAATTAACAAACAAAATGGTGTTTACCTAGACGGAAATTAGTCGCGACAGACATCACCTACTGAGCAATTGCAACAAGTCAGCAACCCAATAAATTTGTCCAATCAATTATTTATAGAAGACCCTTACGTTTTTTATATTTCGCTGAAACCACTTGATACTTAGGATGAGATTCACATAGATATTTATATTAGACTCCCAAGAAATGAACAATGCATATTGCATCACCAATTCAACCAAAAGAGTTGCGAAGAAAAGATCATACTAATAATTTTATACTATCTTTAATAATTGCCACTGTACTAGAACAATCTCTTGAGTTATACATGAAATGACGCATAATATGAAGGATTTAGTTGTTTTATCAATCCTGCAAGCCCCGAGTCACCCCGTAACAGGAAATTGCAATGACATTCAGTGAGTGTGTTGAACATAGGTGTTTATTCAGTTTATTCCCCCCACCACCCCCCACAAAAAAAAAACTGATTAAAAGTTCACAACTGGTAGTATAACCCTATTCCTCTTTAGCTGATAATACAGACTTCAATGGATTCTAAATTCAGAACTGAACAAATGTTTTGTAGCTTGATTAATAGTGGGTAAACAAAAAAAGCAATGGACCTCGGCTACAGAATTTGTTTGCTACATGTAAAGCTAGATTCTTTGATTCGGCATCGTTCAATTTCTTCCATTACAAATGATAGAAAACTGAACACTTCATCAGCTCAATTGCCATCCAGGGATACTAATATTAATATTTGAGCTCAAAACTTGGTACTAAAAGCAAAAGGCAAGGAATTCATGGTCATGGAAGAAACATCAGTGCTTGTGTTTTTTGTCGATGTCATAAAGCACACACATATCTGCTGCTGTCTTCATCTGAAATCACAAGGGTCTTAGGGAAGATTAAAATGCAGGACTAAATCAATAACTAAATAATAGGTCAAAAGCATCAGTTGAACACATACTAGTTGGAGCTAAGTAAATAATAATAATAATAATCAATCAATCAATCTATTCTTATTCCAAGACTTTCTTTAAAGAACAAGACCCTTTAAGTCAATTATCAAGTCATAATATGCAGTTACCAAGTCATGCTAAAGAGTTAATATATCCAAACTGAAGCAAAAGTGCACTGAGGCACAACATAAACTGCTAGTCACTGAATGTGCTGAATCTAAATCCTCATTTAAACTGTCTAACCAACAATCCTAGGCATAACTTGAAAGCTTCAGCAAATTGAACGAATGTCACCATTTGCAATTGAGTACATTCCTATTACTTTATTCAATAAAATACAGTTTATGAAGTTTCGTACTGACTTACAAATATAAAAGCATGTTTACATGTGATAGTTTTAATTTTTAGCCAGAAAGCAAATTTGAATGCACACCATTCTCTGTTACTGTGATACTAGCAGGATGAATATTCCAAATTAAAAAATAAGAACAATTTAGTGCCATCCTATTTTCTTTGGAGATTGGATGTGTTGCTGCTTTTTTTTTCTCTTCTTTTCCTTCGGAGATGGGGAGTGGTCAAACACTAAATATATACAGCATCTCATCATCTAAAATACCCAGCATAAATATATCATGTACGAACCTGAATGACATTTATAACTTGTTTGATTGCCCATCCAAATAAACTAGCACCAATTAGGAAAGAAAGTAATGATATCTTCTGCAAATTACTTGATAAAACCTGAAAATTGAAACAACAGATAAACTAAGATGATTGCAGGAAACCCTCCAGGCATCTTGGATCATCTAACAGCAGTACAAATCCACATAGAGCACTTACATCCACCAAGGTCTCCGTCTGATTCTTCGGAAGATAAAACAGGATCAAGTAAAGAACCTGTAGATATAAATGATAAGAACAAGAAAAACAATACTTATTAAAGGTTTATTCAAAAAAGATCAAGAAGACGGTATTATGATTACCTCGCATGAGACACAACAGTAGGCCATAAACATCCTATTTCCATAATATGCCTTGAAAAGCCAGTTGCTGCTGTCTTTAACATCTTTATGACTAGCCTTGCCCAGCAAGAAAGTGCTGCATTCCGAGTAAAAATCCAACATAAGAACTTCATCATGACCAAACCAAGTAACTTTTGAATCATACAATTAGAGTTAAGGGAGAAAAAACACAAAGTTGACATACATTACCTGTACATTTGTAGCCAGTGACTGGCAATATCTAAGGCGAGCAATGACACGAAGATCAGGCCAGGCCTTTACACAAGTTCAGCACAAAAGTTAGGTGCACATGCTTAATGTTACATCGACTGATGAACAGCTTGAAAGGAGAAATATCTCACTTGTATACTTGGGAGAGAACTACAAGTAGGCAAGCAGTGCTGATTCTGGAAATAAAGAAGCCACATTAATTCAAAGCACACAAGAATCGAACAATGTAAAGAAGTTATAGCAGCACCAATCAACACATTCCTTTGGCTTGCATGCAAGAGAGAGAGAACAGAGAATGACCTGTCTGTTACCATGTCCAGCACAGCTCCAAAGGTTGACACTAAATCAAGAAAGTAACAACACAAAAAAGAAAAATGCTAGATTAGTATATTTGTCTATCATATGGAATAATTACTGAAAAAAAAAAGTTTAGAGAGATGGGAGTTTTCCCAATTCCACAGTAAGGGCATGCTACATGTCTGGCTTCCCGTGGTACTTACACATGGTATACCTATGAAAAACCACCAGCAGGATTTGAACCCAAAACTTTTTTGTAGACAGTGTTTGATCATACTGGTTAAGCCAACCCTTATTAGCATATGAGCCATATTACCCCTCTACTTTCTTATCTAAAACTTGCTTATGGTCGACCCAGTGTTCTATAAAAGATGTAAAAGTCAAAGAGTCAACAGAATGCATTCATTGGAGCAAAATAAATCATCCTTAACCTTGGCAGTTGGCACTTAGACCGGAAAAAGTATATATGGCCGCAAATTTAAACTGTAAATACTTCAAAGACAAATATCTAAGCCAATTCAAGCTGTGATATTCCCTCAGTTTCAAACTGATTTTCAAGAGTTAAAGTTCCAAATGGTTTTGAAGCACTCAATAATAAGGAAAAAAAAGTTAGCAAAAATCATGCTTTACCCATTTTCACAAAACAGAATGCAGCTAGGGTAAAGAAAATTAACACAGTGATCATATTCAGAATGCTCTAAACCACAAGGAGTCAAAACATAGTTATCCCTTAATTTATCGACCAACTTTGGCCCAAGAATGATAGTGTGATGTATGTGAATGCAATGACATCCGTTGTGGACATTGACAAATTGTGTGTAAGGACTTTCTTAGTTGAGTATTGACATTATTTACATATTCAATAGAAAACATTGACAACAGATAAACAGATAGTGATCTGACATATACAATAAAGTTTATACCTTGATTGAATCTGCGAGCACACCAGCCATCCACAGCATCGCATACAAAGCTGGCAACACAAATGCAGCCAAATTATTCCCCCATCCCATAAACTTTAAAGAGGAAAAAACTCAATACTAGAAAAAGTCCAAAAAATTGTATCCCACCTGAAAAAGTAGAGAATAGAGAAGAGAATTTTGTTTGTTAAACATAGGGAGAAAGCAACACAGTTTAAAAGAACCCGGATGTATCCTGCATCATCACGGACATGGTCAATAATTAAGACAGTAAAGTCATGGAGAACTACAGAGTGTGAACTTGAGTAAAATCACTTGAACAATCCAATAATAAGAAATGTGGCAATAAGAAAAGTGACATCCATAAATTTTCTGTACTACTCTGTTCATCTGTCCTATATCGAAGTTGTATACATGTATCCTGTTATTCTTATCAACACAATAAGCATTAGAACACTACGGTTTCTACAATATTTAAGTAAACATCAGAGAATAAAACGAAATATCCACCAGTATAGTTAAATACCCACCAATGATATTAGGAATGTAAAGGTACACAGACAATTTACTGGTTCTTGGTTCAGGTTTCTTGGCCATTGAAGCTTCTTTATATTCTAAAACTTGACTAATAAGTGTAGGAGTACCAGTCAAATATTCACCTGCATACACAGTTTCCGGTAAGAAATCCAAATCTACAAGGACACATGCACACAGGTATTACCATCTCATGCACATGTAACCATAACAGAACATGCATAAGTTGACAATCATCTACCTACCTACCTAACTAACTATTCATGCAGACACACAAATATAAAAAAACGAAAACCCAATCATCTGATATCACCGCATATCGACATCTGATAATGAACTTTCTTAGTTTATTTCTCCGATAGAAACGAGCAAAAAGGGAACTGTGGCATAAAATTTTAAATTTCATCTTCAATCAATTTTTCTCCTCTCCACAATGTTTCGTCCAAATAAGTTAACATACCAAATCGCAGTTTCTGGTAACTCAACTATTAGCTCAATCTTTTTATTTTGTAAAAGAAAATTTTCAAAAAGTCAAATCAGAAATCGATTCCAAATCAGAAATGTCCCAACCTTGAAGTCGCTAAATCGAAGATTCATTGCACAAGTGCACTGGCAACGCTTGCTCCTAAAATGCTAGAAATTTCAAGAAAACTACTGAACTACCCTCCATTTTTTGTAAAAGGAAAAATAATAATAATATCGAATGAATTGAACCAACTTTGTTAAAGAAAAAGGGATTGAAAGGAATAATGGTATTAGCAAGAGAGATAGTCATAAGGTACCGGCGGAGATACAGTACGGTGGATGCCGGCGAGGGGAAGAAGTGCGCTGCCAAGAGGAAAGACGGTTAGATCGGAAGAAGGAACAACTGTGATTGGCAACTTGGGGTGGCACTGCCTTCGTTTGTTTATTTTGGATGCTGCTTTTTCCTTTTCTTTTTCTTTTTCTTTTTCTTTTTTATTTTCACTCTTTGCACGAAAACCAGTGTATTTGTATTTAAACCATGGGTTCTATTTTTCTCATGTTATTGGATACAGGTATCTCTTATAAAAAAAAAAGTGGTGGCACAATTTTTAATGCGAGAGTAGCATAAGATAGTTATTCCATGTAAAATGAGGCAAGAATTTCCCATAAATCATATAATATTTTAAACATTTATCCAAAAAAAAAAAAATATTATTTTAAACAATATAAGTCCGCTTTTGTATCATACGAAGAAAAAAAAATGGTCTTAGGGCATGTTTGGTGCATAGTATAGGATAAGGCCTGATAGTATAAGACCTGATAGTATAAGGCCTGATTGTATAAGACCTGATTGAATTTTAATACTATCCAGCGTTTGGCACGGTATTGTATAAAATAATATATTATATAAGATAATATCATCTAGTATTTGGTAATGTACTGTATAATATTATGTATGATAAAAATAAATTTTAATAAAAATATCCTTTAATAAAGAATTTATATAATTCTTAAAAAAATATCGCATGATATTAATTTTTATAAAAATTTATTAATCAGTGTGTCCAAAATATAAATTAATTTTTATAAAAATAAAAATATTCAATATTTTAAAAATTAATATATTGAAAAATTAATTTTATTTTAATAGATTAATATTAAAATAATATATTAATTTTTGAAAATTACATTAATCAACGAAGTTAATACATCAATCTCTTATCAGACCTTATCCCTCATCCTTAGGCCGGATTAAGTTATACATCATTTTGATGTATTAAGGGATTATGCTGTATAAGCTTATACTATACGATGGTCACACCAAACAACTGGAAATGTCATAACGTATAGTATAAGCTTATACTATCATGCCTTATACGTCACACCAAACAGGCCCTTTTTATAGTGAATGTAGATAAATTATCTATATTCACTCCTAAAACGATGTCTTTTTGATTGAAAAATTAAAAAATTATAACGAGAAAGACTATATAAACGGGAAATAAATTATAATTACAAAAATACCTTGATTTTCTTTTCAAAATAATGTCATTTTGGACTATATAGATAACTTATATACATTTGTTGCAGAAAAAATAAACCCTAAAAATATATACATAAAAATAATTAATACCTAAATACGTAAATAATATTTATATTTTGTATTCAATATATTTACTGCAATTAGTGTTTGTCCTTTAAAATGATATATGATTATATCATTTTAGTCAAAATTACAATGTTTTATAGTGAGAGAAAGAGTTACATAATAAAAAATAGGGGAAATGTTTGTCATTTTAAAATTTAAAGTACATAGAGTTATGTCATTTTAAGTAAGAGAAATACCACAAATTAATATTTTTTATTTAAATTTAAATTAAAAAATCATTCACTTCCTCCCATGATTTTCTTTGCTTTTGTCTTTCTCTTATTTAAAATAATACAACTCTATGTCCTTTAAAAGGACAACATCAAACCCTAAAAATTATGGTGAGAGAAAGTGAGAAGTATTTTTAATTTAAATATTAAATAAAAAATAATCATTTTAACTAAAATGACTATACTTTAAAAGGACAAATAAGTTGTTTACCAAAAAAAAAAGGACAAATAAATTTTCTATATTTCTTTTGTTATAAATAATGAGAATAGTGTTTATCGTTTAGGTTTATTTTTATGAAAAATAAGGCTCTCATGAAACAGGTGATGTTTTTTTCTCGAGGAGCCATTGTTTCTCGTGCCAGCTTTTTTTTCATTACTTAAATAATTGGTGAACCCAAATATTGGTGGAGTCTGTGATGTGAGAAGGCTATCTCCAGTGACATGAGAAGGTTTTCTCCAATGACACGAGAGGTGATAAGCCATGTATTTCTAGGCCTTTTACATTATCTATTTTTCGTAAAATTAGAAAGAAATAGAGAAAAAAATGTAAAAAACCATCAAAACACGCTTCATTTCATTACAAAATTATGTCCTTTGAAATAATAAATATTTTTTCATAAATTATTTATATAAATATAAATATTTAATTCATACATTAAACGAATTACACTTGAATAATTGAATATAAAAAAATATGGTATATGAAATATTTGAATATATTTATTATATTGATTAAAATACCAGTTCCCCCAAAAATTTGAGCATACATCCACACCTGTTACCTTTCGAGGAATTCTATTACGAGACTTTTATATTTTTTCAATTCATTCAATATATATCAATATACCATTACCATGAGTAAATCTTAAGAGACTACCGTAATATGTACTCTTCTGCTATGATTATAAATTAGTGAGATTTCATTGTATAAATGAGTTATGAATAAGAAGTTAGAAGAATCGTGTTTTTTTTTTCATTTTGAACAGTCTCGTCTCTTCGTTTGTGAATAGTTGTGTATCTTCAGTTACAAAGAGACGTGCCTCTTTATAATCGAACAGTCACGTCTGTTCATTTTTGAATAGTCATGACTTTTCGTCTTGTGACCATTCACCTCTATAAATATCAGAGGCCTGTAAACAATAATTACAAAATTTTCTGACTACTTTCCAAAGATTTACCAAAATTAATTCACATATATTGCCTTTGTCTGCTATTGGTCAACATTTATTGTGTCCGCCGGTGTTGTTTCTCCTGGTAGTGCCTCCATAAACAGAGATAACTCATTCTTTCCTGGAAGCCATTTGTCCACTAACTTTAAGTATCGTAGAGGGGGCAAAATTGTCTTAAGGACACAATATCTAATACTAGGCTTAGCTTTAATTTTCTGCAATTTGTTATGCCTTAGATATTGCTTCCTAGTTTCCTACAATTGCATTATGTTCTATGTGTGATTGTGCTTTCACTGTTATCCCATAACACAAATTTTTGCACCACCTTCCAAATAGATTCATATAATATTAACAATAAAATAGTTGCTAGGATAAATGCAATTAAATAAATTATACTTTCTAATATTATTAATAGTATATAAGTCTTCATTGCTATTTTCGGCATCTATGCAGATGCCATTTGAGCGCATGTTCTTAGAAAAATATATTATTGCGATGGAGAAATATTTTCTCATGTTATTGGAGAAAGTATTTCTTATGCCATACATATATTAATTTGTGTGTTTAATTTTATTTAATTTTTAATTTTTTTAATGATGAGATATGTCTAAAATATGTGTTTGTAGATAATTTTCACTTCTCATGCTGAGAAAAACAAAGCCCGATTGTAAAACGTAGATGAGGTGGAATTAAGAATGCGATAACAAATGTGACACTAGAGGATTAAGAATAGTGCATCATAATTTTAAATTTCATTTGTCATATTGATGATGATGAGACACGTGATTTTAGTAACAATGATCTATTAAGTTAATCAATGGGTATTATTTACATCCGTATAAATAATACTTTCAATTTTAGTATGCTATTTATATTTAGTAACTCTAATTTATTATATATGAATATGAGAGCAATTAGTTTCAAGCAAATTAATAATTAAAATTTGATGTCAGATTTATTATTCTTCAACCAATGTAAAATTAACATAACCCTACATTTCATATTAAGGTTTTGATTCCGTTATGTTACAGGAAAAAGGTGGAAGATTTCTGCAGACACAAAAAATGGTCCCCCCCCCCCCCCCCATTTAAAAAAGAAGAAGATGTGGTGCTAAAATCCAAGTAAATGCATGAAATTCGTTTTTTTTTCTGCAACATAATCTTTATATTTTCCTTAATATTATATAGATTTATTTTTATGTTGGATGAACTATTGTGAATTTTGAGTTGTCATTAGGTTATCCAATGTTATTAAATTTTGATAGATTATTGATTCAGTTGGAGTACAGAATCAATGTATTACTGGTACAATTAGTGAAAAATATTTTCAATACTCCCCTAATACTAAAAACCCAATACCTTATATATACCAAAAAAAAAACCAATACCTTCTTTATTTAAATTAAAATAATTCAACTGATTTTACCTATTTTAACCACTCATTTATGGTTAATGTCACTTAAATCTCATTTTTTTTTTACTTATTTTTATAAAGGAGTATCGATTCCTATAATACTAAATATGTGCTCAAACTAATGGATAATTCATTGAACTAATTAAATTGAATATATATATATATATATATATATATATATATATATATATATATAATAAATATAAAAATAAAAGTATTATAACTTAAGAGTTGTTCTAGAGTAAGTGGATCCTATGTTTGAACCCTATCTAAACAAATTGTCAATCATTTTACATAATAAATTTAGGGGAATATGTTTCTCATGTTATATGAGATAATTTATTTCATGCAATACACCAAAAAATGGGTGGGGCCTACTTAGAAGAAGGGAGAAAGAAAAAAGTGCATTCTAGTATTTCACCCACATTTTTTGTAACCTTCCTTATAATCGACTAGCATAGAGGATATCACATTACTTCTTAATTCTTATTTTAAATAAAAGAGTGGGAATTATACTAAGATTTTAACGCAATGGAAATAAAATAAGGCATATGATAAAATATACTTAAAAATTAATTATACATATAACTAAAGTCAAGTTCACTATTACATCTGAATTAGTGTAACACCTCGTGTATACTCAGTTTGTTAACATGTCATCGTATTAAGCCACGCTTAATTAAAATGCGAAATAACTTTTTCTTTTCAATTATGACGTCATTATCAATTACCAAGTTGAATACTTAAATCACTTTCAAAATACTGCCTGTATGTAATTGCAAATAAACAGCTATCTACACTGAATAACCTCAATATATAAATAAAGGTGAGTATCTAAGTCACGGATCTACAACATGTAGTCCGGACATAATCCTGACACATTAATACAACTCGAACTCAAAATAAGACATAGTCAATCAATGTGGCATGAACAACCCCCATACTCACCAAATAAGGCAACAAAGCCCAACAACAGTCTCAACAATAGCAACATAATCCTAA